AACTGGGCCCAAGAAAATTAAATTGAGAGTACTTCACCAACCATGGAGAGCAAGTAGGTCAAATATGGTGGGCCCAAGATAGGGCCTAAATTTGTTGCGCAAGTGGAAGATGGGTGGTGCAACCTATCGGCCATTATTGACTATGTTTCAAAAATATATTCATTCAAAATCTTTTTTTTTTTTTTGGTTTTATCACACATTTAACTTATCATTTTGATTATATATTTTTATTCTTTTCCGACGTGAGAAACTTGGACATTTTTTTCCTGTAACATGCCATAACCTGCAGAGGAGAGAACGAGCGGACTTCGTTTAAAATTGGCTATGCCCTATCCCGACTGCTTCTGCATGTTTATTACAACTTGTTTTTGAAAAAAACCACCACTTTACATTAATTCCATTCTTATATTTTTAGTGCATAACCTGGAATTATCCTTTGTTATCAACATTACACTTCCAATCCCATTTATCACGCTTTCTCTCCATAATCTTTAATGTTCAACATTTTAGGACTTCTACATTGGAAGTGATTCCTTCATGGGTCATGGTAGTTAGGCATGCAGGTGGGAACACAGTAACAGTGGGCTCAAAATGGTTGTGATAGTTGTTCCCACTAAAAGAAGTTGGAGGAAAACTTGGGGTGACACAATTTGAACGTAGTCTAGGATCAACAAGTACAGTCATTTAATGTAAAAAGTTTAACTTAGAGAATACTAGTTGGATTCATTTTGGTACACTTTTCTTAGATTATTCTCACTTGATCTATCATAAATTCAAGTGAAGGGAATATATTATATACATTTGGTAGATTTTGATTATTGATTATTGATATTGAATTTTCTTTCTAAAATTCTTTCTATTCTCATCTGCTTCTTTTTTTTTTCTTCTTCCCTTCTCATCCCTAATTCTTCCCTAATACGAAATGATAGGAATCACATTATATTTCATTATAGTGGGCATAGGTATAAAGATTAAGAGTTATTTGTTATTATGCTTTTAAGGGGTTTAGTGTCATTATGACTATTTATTTTTTTTAGAATTTATAGTCTCCTATATATATATATATATATATAGGAGATATGTTATTTGTTTTGGTAGACTTTGATTATTGATTATTGATATTGAATCTTCTTTCTAAAATTCTCTCTATTCTCATCTCCTTTTTCTTCTTTTCTCATCTCCTTCTTCTTCCCTTCTCATCTCTAATTCTTCTCTAATACGATCTACATCACTTACCCATCAAATTTTTCTTTGATTTCTTCAAGTTAAATATTATCGGTAATATAATTTCAAAATACCGATTTTTTCTGAAATTTTAAGCCTTCATTACCTACAAACTTAGACAATTTGTCATTTTATTTCTTCAATCTTTCATTTTTGTTAAAAATGTATATGTTTGTGTTCTTCAAATCAGACTCATGTCAAAATAATTATATTTTTTTTCTTTATCTGATTTTATAAAAAATGATAAAGGATTGAAACAATTTGTGTTCTTCAAATCAGACTCATGTCAAAATAATTATATTTTTTTTCTTTATCTGATTTTATAAAAAATGATAAAGGATTGAAACAATTTTAAAATTTTGCAGTAATTTCTTTATTTCCATATAATTTTGTATACGTATTCATTTTTATTTTATTTTTTTTGAATTATTCGTTTGTTGAGACTTGAGAGATATAAAAGTTTTAATTTTTTTTTATCAAATGGCAGAAAAAAAAAAAGAGTTTGGGAACAAGAATTTTTTTTAAAATATTTGTGTAGATATTTGAGTTTGTACTTAGACTACTCTGTACCAAAGCTTTTTACTTCTCATGGTCGGAGATGTTGTAATGGAATTCGCCGAAAATGTGATACTGAGGTTGATGGAGGATCCAAAGGAGAGAGATCGACAGTTCAGAGAGCATTTGTACACGTTGAAGGACAGATGCAATGTGGAACTATCCTCTCCGTCCGTACGGTTTCTGGACCTTCGAGCGCCACAATGCTCAGATCTTTTGGGACGCTCAGATCGGCCAAGTCCCCGGGCGTCGCGACACCTACGATCACCTCCTTCAAGACTCCTTCGACCCTTCCATCTCTAAATAATTGGTGATTTTGAAATCTTAGAATTCGTATGATTTCTACATTCATTCAGTTATGTGTGTTTGATTGTATGCATATCGTGATCTGTGGATATGGTATAATTGTTTGACAATAAGCTGTTGAAATTTCGAAATATGTTAACTCGTGTATGTAATTTGGATTTAATTCTGGATTTCTCTGGAGCTATTAGAATGTTATGGTTATTGGAATAAGCTTGAAATTTTGTGGTAGCCTTCGACAAAATAAACTTAGCATTTTTGTGTTCAACTTTAATTCCATAAACTGGAATATGTTTGTGTTCATACAGGCATGATGTTGGAATAACTTTTTAACATGGAACTCATGAGAACTATAAGATTATACAAGTATTCTAACACCTTTCTGTATTCGTTTACAAGGTTAGGTTTTATTCAGTAATTGTTGCACTTTCTTTTTAACAAGTACTGTGTATGTTTCCGTACACATGTAATTTGGAAGCACTACATTGTAAACTTGTTTAATTAGGGATTTAACTGGCCAAGAATCTCCCCGAGGGATTAATAATGAGTGATCCATGTTCTGCTAGAGAATTTTAGGTTGTGAGGGAGTTGGTGACTGCAGGCTACCAATGTATTAGTATTTTATAGTTTGTCAATTTTTCTCTATTCCTGTTTTATGATACATGATTATCTACCTGTTCATGTGGGGACACAGTTGTTTTCTCACTAGATAAGGAGTAAAAACGTTGTCTAAAAGCCAAGTGAGAATTATTAAGTCTAGAGAGAACAAAAATGCGAACACACCAAAATTAAAGAATTGTGGAACGAGCAGATCAAACAATGTAATCCTGAAATCAAGTTCTATGTAGGCCAGTTTGACATTGCCGTATGCTTCTTTTTCATGTGAAATTGTTGCTGAAGGACAAATGTTGTGCATGTTACCCTTTACATGAGACCGAATTGGATAGATTTACTTCAAAGTTGGAGATGACTTGGATGGATAATAACATGAATTGTGATGGGGAAAGGGCTACATCTTAGCGAGAGATTCTTTCCTGATGGTGGAAGGCGGTAGAAGGTTTCGAAACATTACCTGATCTTACGTAGAGCATGAAATATTATTGTAGAACTTCATAAATCAAATTAATGCTAAATAATTTGAATCTCTACCTAACACTGATCTGATTGTACTCAGCACAAGTTTATTTGATTTGAAACCCCTCCTCTCTTAAGATCCAAAATAGATGTTGTCATGTTCCTTACTCTAACTCTATCGAAATTTATTTTTTCTATCAATTTTAGGCTTGAATAAGAGCACACATTGTGCTATAGACTGTATGTTTTGGGATGGTTGGAGTAAGGATGCAATTATATTTGTAGGTTGGTTCTATGGTTTGCCAGCATCTCATCATCAGTGTCATCACTTATTGCACAGCATCATGAACACTTTTTATTAGTTGACCACTTTGGCCATGCTTGGGCATGGGGCAGCCCATGCATGTAAGGCTTATAGCTGCCATGCACCGTTTGTTTTATGAACAAAACTGTCCACTGCGATCCGCTCTTTCAAGATGTAACTTATTTCGTTGAGATGTTTAAGTTCTTGTCTAGTAAAGGATGGTTTTAACCTCTGTCAAAATGTGGATAAAAGGATCTGATTAGTGTCTTGATGTTATGGGTGGGTCGGCAATATAAAAAGTAATGGATTCGTAGTAGGGCTCCCTATATTCACATGACTTTGTCATTATTAGATTGACATTAAAACATGGCATTTACGTTCATTCTTGCATGTGAGATTGAGAATCAAAAATTTCAGCAAATATATGATTTGGAGTTGTGTGATGCAATTTTAACCCTAAACCTTCAGAGTGATTCCCAGTCAAATTTACTGTTTGCTGCATTATTCACAGGCTTTTATTGTTCACGGGTTACTGTTCACAACTAACTTAAAAGAGCGTACAACGCATGACTGAAATGAATGGCAAAGACAGACTTATATAGCCGACCCTAAATGATTGGAACATAAGTCTTGGTTTAGTTGGTTGGGTTACTGTTCACAACTAAACAACAATGTTGATTTGCTGCTGTCCTGGTTGAGTCGGAATTTGAAAAGTAATGGATTCCTAGTATAGCTCACTATATTCACGTGACATTTGTCATTCATTATTAGATTGACATTTACGTTCATTCTTGCTTGTGGGATTGAGACCATAAAAAATTTCTGCAATTATATGTTTTGGAGTTGTGTGATGCAATTTTAACCCTAGGTGTGATGCCTAAGGAATCTGAAGTGATTCCTAGTCAAATTTACTGTTTGTTTGCAGCACTATTCACAGGCTTTTATTGTTCACGGGTTATTGTTCACAACTCAAAAACAATGCTGATTTTGTCGATTCGATGCTGTCCTACATCACCAGTGTTTTAATGTGCATGGATATTTCTATTCAATTATGTTTGCTTACATAGAGTTTTTTTGAGTTCTTGTGATGTTGCTCTCCTGTATGTTCCTGTTGGATTCTTTTATTTCTGTCATTTTTTGTGTCTGCATAAAATGTGGTCACCGGAGAAAATATACTTCTATCTAGCTCGCAAAAGAAAAGAAAAGAAAAGAAGATCAAGGTGTACCATTTTTCAGTACACGAGGGATTCTTACTAGTTTACTCCAAAATCCTACTAGTTTTATGTCGAAATGCAGGAAGGTATGAAGCATCAGTAAATCTTAGTTTGACGGATGATGTGTGAGCAGATGTCTGCAACTGAATATCGAATCCTTTTTTTTTTTTAATTTTATTTAATTTAGTAAGCATTCATGTGATAGTGGTGGTGTTTTTCAGCTTTTCACTGATTCTGTTTATTTTGCCCTACACATGCTCTGCCCTCAGTTATGTATGGCAGAGATCAGCTTTATATGCAAAAATGTAATCGAATCTAATGCTGGACTGAATTTACACTTTCATTTCAGTATTTAATGGGTTGTCCAGAAAAGGGGGAAAAAGCACTAATATACCGTTAGGCAATGGTTTTTTAAAATATGTATATTTACAAAGTAGAAAATTTTGTTTAAAAAAACCAAAAGGATATTTTATTTCTATTTTGCAAAAGTGAAGCTTATGTAGCTGGTGATATAGATAATACACTTAGATAATGTATCATGGCATGGACTCTCTCAAGAACAATCGCACGCACCCCCATGTGAAGATCTTTGAGAGAATGTCACCTAGTGGAGGCCTCAACTGATGCTGAAACTGGTCAATTTGACTCGAGCTCTTACAGCTTAAGGAATACCATCTTGTGACAACATAACTTCGTGGTTGAATTAAGCCCCTTCTAGGTTCACTGGACCATCTCCCATATAGTTACTTGGTAGTCCTGGATTCTGTCTCTGCTGACTTTCTTGTGTTCCTGGAATGGTAAGCTGTTTTTTAAATACATCTAACCTAGATATCTATGCTTCTGAGAGTTGCAACAAAAAAAGTAAAACCATGCACATAAATGTACAGGAAAGAGAGTATTAGACGCGACAAAGTCACTATTTATACACAAGTTACCAGCCCATTATCCTTCGCACAACATTGATCCATACCATTGAGAAAGCTAATTAAGGCAGACTAACGTTTTTATGCCAAACCCACACACTAGGTCACAACTTCCTGAACCTCATCTGATTCACTTTCAATTGAAGTGGCTGCATCGCCCTCCTTTGTGGGGGTGGCGGCTGCCTCAGCCTGCTGCTTATATCCCTTGGACATTTTGTTAATAGGAACTAATGGGAAATAGCTAAAGATAGAATAGCCCTTCGCAGCCATACTTGAAACAACTTTGTTGTAATTCTCGGCCAAGTGAGCTGCAGTGGGAACAGCCATCTGTGCAACTGCATGTAATGGCGGCCAACGGTTGACTTCATACATGACCACTGCCAGTTGGCTGAAAACGAACTGCTTGGATAGTGTACAAGCATAACGAAGGGCAGCATTTGGGCCACCAACTTGAGCTTCCTGCACTAAGGTCTGAGCTACCTGCGATGCCTTCTGCACCATAGACTGGGCTTGGCAAACAACCTTCTTCGCCAAGGGCGGTGCATGCTCATCGAACTTGGTTGTTGCTTCATCCACCTATTATTACAGGACTGTTGGCTGAAACTACTTCGAACACTATTAAACCATATGAGAGGGAAATGAAAGCATTGCATATATGACATCCAAATGAGCCCATAAGGGAAACAAAGCATTCATATGCATCTACCCTGATGCAAGCGAATAGATGAAAACGAGAATATAAAATACAAACCAGTAACAAGTTCATTGAAGGATATATGCAACAAAAACAAACCAGCATCAAATGATAAAATTACTTTAACAAGAAGCAGTTATTTCCTAAACTTCCTTCAATGTTTCTTCTCCAGCAAGAATATGCAACTCTTCTTGATCAGAACAATGCTACTCTTACCAAATACCAAAGAGAATATTGTATTCCAGGCTATACCAAGCTCCATAGTTCCAAGAAATAAACAGGAGAACAATAATGAGAAAACTAACAATTTAACACCTCAATAGGTAGCTATGCGTGGAGAATAAACTCTACATCTGTACCCCAAGTTCAACGCTTACTTCAAAGAAAAACAATATCACATCAAGGTGTTTTTCAGACCCAGAGGGAGCAATGATAAAGTGAAAGCCATAAAAATTTATAGCAAATCAACCACGACGAATGAAGCTAATAGTTAAATTGCAGAACGAATATATAAACTTCTTACCCACTCTCTCCGAGAGAGGTCTCCCTCCCATATTACCAGAGGGTTGGACAAATTACAAATACTATCAAATTGTTGGAATGTAACCATTCATCTTCCACCAGATCCAATGTTGAATTGAGTTGAATTGGATTGGGTTAAAAAAACCATTTTCAATATAGAAGACTTCAAGAATACCCCTCTCATTCCACAAGCACACACACACACATACAGATAGAGACCCAATTGGAAGGCATATATAAGATAACTAAAATCTCTTTGTTTCTGATATTCAACTATGCATGAAAGCCCACTCAATTCCCCGACTTGAGAGATTTGAACATGAAATTGACTAGATTGCAGAATTTGTTGCTCCATAAAATCAACTGTAAAATGTCACAAATCAACACAAATTACCAACGAAGAAATTCGCAATCAAAGTCGCTTATTCATCCCAAAATCTACACAAATTAACCCCTAAAAAATCACCTAAAAATGATATCAAACGACTCTATTCAAGAATCTATTAGGCGTGAACATGATATTAACTAAATCGCCAATCCACCAACTTTCCAGCAGCGATCGATTGTAGAAGGACACAGAATCAACAAGATGCACACATACTATATGACCAACGGGAACTGCAGAAATAGTAGATAAAGAAAACAAGAACAGAAAAAAATGGTAGACAAATACCTTCTGATCAAGAAAAACAAGGAGATCACCGGGTACGCTCTTCAATTTCTCGTAAACAGGTCCAATGACAGTGGTGGCAGCTTTCTCTACAGTTCCGACCGTTGATTTCAAGGGACCGGAGTTTTGCTTCGCGAATTCGTATAGATACGATACGCATACCAGAGCGTTAATCGAGATCAACCTCACAAACTCTAGGTGCTTCAATTCTTGATCGTTGTTCTTCATCTCAATCTGCGTCACATAAAATCAAAAACAGATCATGGAAAAAACCAAATGAATATAATGATCTAAACGAAAATCGACAGAATTCATTCGCAAACCTTGTTCGGAGCAATTTCGTGTTCCAGAGACAGAAGCCTTATTCTCTCTCTCGATCCTTTTCTTCTTCGCCCATTCTGCTTCTGGTGTTGTTTTAAACTAATCAAAGTTCAAGTGATCTGAGACGCCCGTCAGATCGGACGGTGGATATGAACACCTTGGTGAGAGTGGGCCCCCCGATAAGATTCTAAGCTGTCATTCGCTCATCGTTTGGGATATTCTGGTTTTCTAGGGGAGAATAGAAGCTTCGGGAAGAACACGCGGCGTATGTTGTAAATATGGATGAGAAGATCGGAAAAAAATAAGTATTCTTTTAAATATATTTCGTTTGGATAGAAGATGGACCGTACGTATTGGACGATGAACATATACGAAAATATTCATATAAATTCGTGTGAGAATGGACTTATCGTTACTTCTGTCCTGTCCTGTCTCTGTTACACCCGTATATATATATATATATATATATATATATATATATAACGGTTATACTAGAAGATCAAATTGAAAAAGAAGAGTTAGAGGAAGGAGAGATAATCAATTATATTCATAAGGAGATATAATCGATTATATTAAAGAAGAGTTGGAGGTATATACAAATAGTTTTGATTATATTCATAAGAATTCTTAGATCATGACCAAAAAAAAAAAAATCTTAGATCTAAATGTTTTGAAATTTTTTGTTAATTTGTTTGGTCGTAAAAAAAAAAAGGAATATGGGTAGTTATTGGTGAGATTTCAAGAGATTGATATGAAATTTTCTTGAATTGGATTGTAAACCATACATCTTGGTTTGATTTCAATAGAATTCAAGATTAGTATGAAATTTTCTTGATTTGGATTGTAAGTCATACTTCTTTACGCTTTGCATATATATTTTTTGAATCTATCTATTAATCTGTGTGTATTATATCTATGATTCAAGGTTTTTAGAAAGCTAAGATGGGATATTGTGGATATTTGGAGAGATATACTTGGGTGAGGGTTAGGGTTTTTGTTGACTGTTCTAGGGCTATATGGCTGATTTTTGGTGATGTTATGTGGATCTTGAGTTAAATTTCTATTCAAGATGGTTGGTCTTGGATTCATTAATGTTAATCCTCGAATTAGGTTAAATCACTTTTGTTCGCAACTTATGATACAAATTTTGAGTGGCACTCTAGGATTCTAAATTACCTTCTGGGAGAAATATTTTCTTATATCAATATGCCCTATGCTCAACACAGATATAGTTTCCTTACAAATTTAATCATCACTGCCTAATGAGACTAATTGACAAAATAAGCCAAATGCAGATTTTTTCCTACTAGACATCTGTATTTATGTTGTTCAATTAGTCTGGTTTATGAGTGCTTATAATGGTGCATCTTCTAGATAGACTTCTCAACCCCATAAGTCATTTTGGACAATTTTGAGTTGTTTGGTGATACTGGCATTTTAACTTCCTCAGAAGAAGCGCATTTTTAGAATTAGAATGCCCATCTAGAAAAGCTTGGATTATGTTTGTTTTGGCTTTGGCTTGGGCGAGGACGGAGAAGCGGGGACGGGGGCAGGAATTAGAAATTTACCTACAGACGAGGATGGAGATGAAAATTATATCCCTTAACGGGGATGAACTGGATTTGAACGGAGTTTTTTTAAACAGGTATGGGGATGGAGATTACACCCCCCGCCCCCACTTCGGTCCACTGACATCTCTAGTTATAAAATTGACTGAAAAATATGGCAAATCCAAACAACTTTGATAGGACTCGCAAACCGACCCAACCCTAAAAGTTTATGCCTCAACTTTTTTTTTGTGGTCACTTATGCCTCAACTTGAAAGAGTGTGTTCTAACTTTATATTTTTTTGTTCTAGCTTCACATATAAATCCACTGGCCTGAAGACACGAATAAAAAAAAATTGTCAGTCATAAATATATTTTTATTCATATTTAAAATCAAATCACAAACATAAAGGAAAGAAAAAAAAATTTAAACACCGGTTATAGTGGAAGTTAGCAGTGGTAGTGGTGGTGAGCGACACTGGTGAATAGACTTAAGTCCAAATAAGTCCACAAAGATGAATCGATTCTCAAATTTCCTATAATTTTAAACGAGACATTTTACATTTTTCTATTAATTTTTTTGTCACACTATATAATATTAAAATTACTAATTAATTTTTTGTATTGTTAATAGCTAATAGTATAACTAACGTGCTTAATTTTTTTTTATGACTTATTCAATCTAATGTAGGATTTTATTCATTTAATTTTTAAAAAATATTGTGTAACAAGTATTATAAGTTTATAATGCCCATAATTGTCGCACCTCATCCTGAAAGAAAGATAGAGTGTGAGTAATTCTAAATTTATTGACCTTTAACCCACAATTAAACTAGAGTAGTTTAACAATTTTCAGGTCATTTACTTAAATAAGAAAATATAACATTATATAGTACAATGTTGCAACATAACTAGGGCACCATGCCCTTTAAACCTCTTTACAACACGTGTATAATATGACTCATAGCATAAAGTTCGGTCTCACATCAACACCCCTACGTCAATAAGACTGCTCAGTGGACCACTTTTATAATCCGTACACCTAAAATCAAAGAACTGTGGGAGGTGATCAAATCACACACTCAGTGAATATATTCGAAACATATAGGAAGAAAACTCATAAGCACATTACAATTATAATCATAACGTACATACACGTTAAAAGTGTAATTTAACCTCAAATAACCAACTTCTAATAATTAATATGCAATACCCAATATCAAACACACGTTATCCAAAATCTAGTGTCCAATATCCAAAATCAAACTATCAAATAATGCCTGAAAGTCTTGACGAAAATTAACAACTATCTAATTTCGTTCGAAAGTCTCAACAATCTCATCGCGATCCATATATGCCCGGAAGTTTCGGAAATCATATCGCTACCCATAAATGCCCAGGAGTCTTGGCAATCATGTCGCTATCCGTATATGCCCGAGAGTCTTGGTTATTATATCGTTACTGTATATGCCCCGAAGTCTCAGCTATTATATCGCTACTGTTTATGCAAAGTAGTCTCCGCTATCACATATTGATAAGCACTGACATTCAATTTAAGTACTTAAAATCACACTCAACACCAATCCAAAATCCTCAAGTCATAATCTACTCATATACAAATAAATATAGCTGATAACAGTCATTCACCATTTCACAATTCATAACTGATCTCAAAATTAAACTTAAGCTCATAACCAATCACCAATTCACAGTTCACACCCCCTTTTATATCACTACTCATAAGTTATATTCCACTACACCACACTCCAACTAATACACATAATATAGTATAAGCAATCAATTAAATTTTCAATCAATATGATTCAATACACTTACTTCAAGTCAAATATCAAACCTAAGATCACTTCCACGTGATACCTTAGGTGAACCCGACATTGATGTCGTCGCCTCCACACCTATTACAAATCATCATAAAACACATGTGCATTATATTCTGTATACATATGCATGAATGCATAATTATTATATAATAAATTGATCAAACATAAAAACTTACAAAAATAATATATATAACAATACATACATACATATATATATTACTAATTTTGCAGGGCGGCAAATGAGTTTCAATTTATCCTTATCTCCATTTTCACACGAGGTTATATGGATATCTTCGTATACATCTATTATCCAATAGATATGATTCATCCATAGTCCAAACAGAAGAGGTTTGAATAAATACTCATTTTTTTTCGGTCCACTATCATCTATAATTTTAATACAATTAGGGTATAATGTGGAAAAGTTAAGATATAAAGTGTGATTCTGTTAAAAAAATATTTAAAAACTACAAAATTTATGCGTAATCTAAATTCTAAATATTAATGGACACGTGGCAACCATGCTTTCTTTTCCCACTAATTTAGGATTCATCGGTTCTAAGTGCTTTTTGGATATTTATAATGGTCCAATTTGGTTTTTTTGGAACAATTCGAGTGATTGGGAATCCAGTTTTTGTTCTTTTGTATAAATATATATGTACATAAAATATAGCAACGTAATTGGTTTGGATGCCTCTCCTCTAGCATATTTTTTAGAAAAAGTGGGTGGGGTCTACCAAGTAACTTTAAGCAAACCAAATTTAGATTTTACACGAATTAGGTCTATTTGTGGGAGTCATTAAATGATTTAGATTTTTTATTACATTTTTATTCAATTTAATTTAATCTAAATAAATAATAATGACTCACACTTAAATTTATGATAAATAAATTTATCATTGTAAAATTAAATAAAAGTATAATAAAACTGACTTTTAGCAAAGGCAATTAGGTACAATAATAACCCACTACGACCACTTGCACACTGATATAGCTATCTATCGCAAATGAGTAATTACAAAAGAGTAATATTTCGTTTGGTAGAAATGATGAAAAATAAGAAGGATGGGAAGTAAGAGGGATACACTTTCTATCCTTGAAGGATAGAAAATAGGAATGATATGTTTTACTTCCATTGTGTTTTGTTGGATGGATAAAAAATAAAAATGACTAATTTTTTTTGTCTTATATTAGGAGTGACAATCGAGTCTTTTGAGCTCCTAGCAATCGTCAATGTCGTGGTCATGATCACAATGGAAGCGACAATACTTATTCGAATTCCTACGATTTGGGGGAGATTTCATTCGTCTAGGCCACTTTACTGCGGGATCATCCTGGATCCAAATTAGGATTTCCCCGATAGTGGTGTTGAGGAGAGTGAAGATTTGTCGCTCTCTCCGAGAGGCAGGACCAAGTCAGTCTTTAGCAAACACCCTTTCTATCCTGCCTTGTTTATTTTTGCTCTCCTTCTTATCTTCCTTGTCTCTTTCCTTTCTCTTCTTTCTTGTTCGTGAGGGTTTGCCTCACCTACCCTGGTAATGTCCTCAGCATTCATATATTTTTTAACTTTTGTCAACAGCTCTGACATGCTCTTCAATGAGCGCTTCATCACTGAAAAGAGGAAACTCGATGATTAGAGGCCTCCTAGGAAGGCGATCATGGTGACCTTATCGTTGGGTTTCTCAATCTAGAGGACCTCCTCGTTAAAATGAGTGAGGTAGCTCTTTAGACTTTCGTCTCGATCCTGTTTTATACTAAATAGGTAGGTGACAGGCTTCTAGTGGTGACGTCCCCTGATGAAGTGTGACACAAAAAACCTGCTTAGTTCGGCAAATGAGCCTATGGAGGCTGGGATGAGCTTGGCGAGCCAAAGTCGGATAGACCCCTTTAAGGTGGTCGGGAAAGTCCTACACATAATTTCGTCAAGAACATTGTGCAGCTACATTAAGGATTTGTAAGTTTCAAGGTAATCCAGTGGGTCTTTTGTGCCATCAAAGGCTTCTACTTATGACATTTTGAATTTATGGGGAAAATGGTAGTTTGCCACATTTGGCACAAAAGGTGTGTTGGTTCGTCTTACAAGGCACTCCACAGTTTCCAATTCTTGTGCCTTCTAGCATTGAAGACGTTGTCTAGCTAGTTCTGTACTTCCTTGATTTTTTCGTCTCAATGATTAGGACCTCCCTTCGAGATGTCATGGAAATAGCTCCCGTGCTCCACACTTTGATTTCGCTCTCATCTTCTTGAAAACGAGGATCTCCACCTTTGCAAGAGGGAGCTGGAAGGGGAGGTGGAGCTGTCTCATAATTCTGATAAGTGGTTTCCTTGTAGGGGCGCCCAAGTGGGGAGCTCCTTGGTGCCCGAGGCATGGAGTCCCTCTGACTTTTTGTCCTCCCGACTGCACACCTCCTTGTTGTCCAACGAGCATCAGCTGCAAGATTTTCTGATTCTGAGTTACGAGTTGTTACATTGTTTCCAGCATTTATTGTGCATTTAGAACAGGATTAGTTGGAGGGGCAGTCTCCTCCTCACGTGGTGGATTGTCTTCGAGCTGATTCATAAATCTGGTCGTAATTGTCATAGGTACAGGAAAAAAGGTGATTGGGTGAGAACATTATCGTTCCCATACAAAACATCAAACTGATGATACACAAATTAGTTTTATGCACCACATGTCGAATAATTAGTAATTAATGCAATAATTAAGAAGAGAGAAAATTAACACTAGCAAGACAAAGATGTAAAGTGGTTCGGTCAATGTGCCTATTCCATTATGAAGGACTAAGATGACCTAGTGTTTTATTACTTCGAGGAGTGTAAAGAGATCAGGAGAGAGCAGAGGATGTACAAGCTAAGAGGGAAGTGAGAGTGATACAAGATATGCTCGATGCCCCTATGTATTGGCGATACTTACAATTGATAGTGCCCCCTAACAGACTAAGGCGCATTTTCAATAACTAAGTAGCTAATTTGATGAAATTGACGACATCCTCTCAACGACTAAGGCGGTTACGAAGCTCCCTTGAGATCAAATCAAAGGATGGCGTGGTTGACTTCTTCTAAGGCGATGTGAACAAGGCTCTTGGAATGGTGTTGCCTACTATTTGATGACAGAGCTCTTGGAACTCTGATAAACCTGACTAGGTGTGGGCCTCTTTTGGGTCGAGCCCATTGGGTTTCATCTAGTTGAGTTTTTATTCAAGCTGGGTTTATAACTTGAGTTAGGCCTTTGAGCCACCTCTAATCTTTTTCTTTTTCTTTTTAATTTCATTTTGGGTAAAATAAATTAATAGTCCTTGAGATATGTGTTTTGTGTCAGTTTGATTCATAATCTTTGAATTGTGTTAATTTAGTCCCTTAACTTTTCAATTTGTGTCATTTTGATCCAATTAAAACAATAGTTTGAATTTACTAAGTGTTCAAGTGACCATACTTGATTGTAACTTATTTCATTTTGGTCCTTCAAGTTTACAGTTTGTGTCACTATAATTCTTAAAATTCTTAAAGATTGAACCTTAAGTATGATCACTGATATGCACATAACGATCTCGATTAGAAAATTCCAATTACCATTTTCAATTGGAATAAAATAACACAAATTGAGAGATTGAGAGATCACATTGACACAAATAAAAAATTAGAGACCAAATTGACAAAAAACGCATAGTTTTGGGACCAAAAAAATATTTTACCCTTTCATTTTTCTCATCAGTAAATGATCTTGAATTCAAGTTATACACATTTTATAAAAGTGAATTTCTGATCTACCAAAGAAAAAAATATTGGAGAAAATTCGGAACCAAATATATTGGTTGAGTTGCACAGAAGAACTACATTTGAAATGAACCAACAATTAACTAAAACACAGGCGCAAAATGTAAATGGGTGAGGGTACAGCTGATAATCAAGTCAAGCTTGAACATTTTTTAAAACTCGTTTATGTGTAAATAATTAAACAAATCAACTCGTTTATGTGTAAATTCAAATCAATTTAAACTCAAATTCAGCTCGATTACTGGCCCGAAGCGTGGGACCACCTTTAAGCGGAGAGGGGTCGATGGGATACATTTTTCGACTGTTCTACAAGGAGACGAATGACAACCCAGAGCAAAAAAGTTAAAAGCATCAACCGGAGTGAAGCTTTAATGCTAGAAAATTTTTGTTCATCCTACGCGATCACGAGATTCGCCTAGTCGCACGTAGGACACATAAACTAGGTTTGGAATTATAAGTTAACTGTATTGAATCCTTCAACCTGAAATCCAATCTTCCTTAACAGTTGAATCAGTCAAAGCACCTTAGCAAAGTTTTTAAAAGCGGAAAACATATACCCCATGGAAGTTAACAAGAAAATGTAAACGCCTTTAATGGCTCTTGAATCATCCTTAATATGGGGTTGTGCCTTAGCGAAGTTGTGCAGTCAGGTATACTCTTCTACTACCACCCCAAGAACAGTAGACTTGCAATTAATTTCTCTTGAAAGAAAAAAAGCTTATCATTTTCAACATGAGGGCTCCGGTTTTGCACAACAGTATCTGTGGTCCCCGTTTCTTGCAGGCATATTTGCATAACTAGTTTTCGCATGATTAACAATTCTGTTCTAGTGTACCAAAACTCGAAATATCCAAGTAACAGATTCTGCTTAAGTTGCTTACAAAAGGAAAAAATACCAAACTATCTTGGCATACCTTACAGTTATATCCGCATTTTCAAAACTGTAAACATATGGTTTTGAGAAAGGAATGTGAACTGGCACGATGATTTTCCTCCAAGGCTCTAATTGATGACTGAAGAAAAAGTAACTTCATATTAAACTAGTTGTGGCAGGGGAATTCAAGAAATGACTAAGCAAAAGCCATCATAGGCATCACACACCAGAACCTTTCATGGAGCTTGAGATTTCTGGCGCTTTATATACTGAAGGATAGGCTCCCTAACCTGTGAAAAGAATAAGGACACAAAAATTAGGTAGCATTTTCTGGGTGGTAAACTGTCTTCTGTCAAGTCATGGAGGAAATGTGGAGCATACCGTGCTTGCTTTCCTGGACCGTTTGTCTTGGGTGGACCTGCTACAGATCAACTCATCACATTGGTTTGCATTTCCATTAGCTCTGCCATTCTCAATCCCCAGTGCAAAACTCTCTCTTGAAGTCACTGGCTGCACAAGGACCATAATATATTTTCGATCAGGTGGCTATGAAACCTTTAGTAACAGGAACCCTTTGTAATACAGTAAAAAAGGAGACAGTTCAAAACTAGATTGACCTCAGCCCTGCTCATGGGAGTGTTTCCGTGCTCCCTTGTCTTAGAGACAGTCTGCTCGCTCCTAATAGAACCATTTTGATAGGTATCAGATCTGCCTCTTGTGCGAGTGAGATCTGATCCAATGGAGTGGACACCACCAAAAGTGGACATGTCTCTGTGGTTGCTTCCTAATGATGACAAAGCATTCTTAGTTCCAACTGTGCATAGTAAATTGAAAGATCCGCCGTTTGTTGACCAACTAGGGTAAAAGTGATTTGATCAAATACCTGATGCCTGAAATTCTGGACGATTGGACTTGTTTACTGATTCATTCATATCCAGATCCTGATCAATATAGTAAGTTAGAGAACCCATGAAAAAGCAATGCAAACATAATGAAATTATGGAATCCTAAACAGTATGTATACCATGGCATCTAGATTAAAAGCTTTCTTAACTTCAATCAGCTTTTTCTCAGTTAGATCTGAGTGGATCACGCGCTTGCCTGAGACAATAAATGAGAATATGTAAATGACAACAAATTTCCTCTGCCAAATTATGCCAAGCAGAAGAAAGTAATTCAGTAGTTTGACTCAATATACCTAGTCTACGGTTGCTTTTGGCTTCAACATAACCATCTTGGGTCATCTTATCAATTAGCTTCCGCACAGTAGTCTGGTTAGCTTTTCCTTCAAGCTTGCTCTGAAGCTTCGCAACACTTATGTAGTTCATAGGCAGAGCATGATACAAAGCCTGAAATGAGAACATCAAAATGTTGTGGTTCATCTGCTAGTTAACTTCTTTCGGGGTGGACTTGAGCATAATCATCAGAATCCTTTCCAGTCAGATTTTTCAAAATTACTGGTGTTGGTTTCTATACTAGCCAAAAGTCAGTAGGTATAATACAGAACAAAAGCCATGGCTCCTAGAACCTGGCCAAACAAGGCCTCAAAATTAGCCAAATCCAAAGAGGTGGAAGAAAAAAGTGAATAGTAATATTAACCTTCAGACATGGTGAAAAAGGAAAGTTGATCAAAGAAAATAGATGACATAAATCAGCTTAGTTTTCCTGAGGGCTTCCCCAGTGAAATATTTATAAAGCTCACCTCCATGTACATGTGATCTACACCCATCCTCTGCTGAATTCTGTTGCCAACTGGGACTACTTGGCCATCCATTTCCTCTTTTATAGCATCGAATTCATAGTTGGAATTCTAATGTTGTGGTTTTGTGACAAAGAAGAACATCAGTCAAAAGCAATGACATATGGATACAACATTGAAAATGAAACCAACAATGGAAAGAAAAGAAGACAAATTACCTTTTGCTTGTTAATGGTGTAGTTGTCCGTTCCAGTTTTAGATAGAATACCTTCCCTAACAAGCTTGTCCATAATTTCTGAAAACAAGTCAGAGAAATTAAAACGGAGTAAACTTGTTCTATGCCTTAAAGGTGAAGCGTTGGACTCCTTGTAAGTGTCATGCATTTACCTTCAATCAAGACCTGAAATCATCCAAATTTATACCAACATCAGAAGATAGCTTAACAGTCAAACTGCAGAATTCAAGACTAATCTGGTAGTATCAGTTTAAACGACACTCGTTTTTCAAACTACTTAACCAAGTAAAGAAGAAGTCCTTACCAATGAGATGTCGGGGAAATTTGAGAGAACTTCGGTGACTTCAACTGTGTCAAGCTGGTGAGAGCTGATCCAGACCTTTACACGGCCTAGTTGTTGTTCATCTTCTGCTGGATCCTGAGTATCATCTGCACATTATAAAGCAAATTGGCATTCATTTCTTTATTTGAACGTGTTCCACCATTGAAGCCCATAACATAATTTTCTTCAAATTGTACCGTCATCAACCATTGTCCCATTTTCATTAGCCTGATGCTTGTCTGTCAAGAAAATATTGTTACTTAAAGTTCAACTTCAGAAGCATTGCAACAGAGAACTATACAAACAAGATGAGACAGAGACATGTATTTACCTACTGGTGCGACTATGTATTGGTCATCATCTGAATTGCTGACCTGAAATAAGTTACAAATTCCAAAAAGGTTCAATTTAATCAAAATTGTAATGAGGTCCAGTTTAAAAACAATGAGAGCATCTAATAAAATAATACTTCACATTACCTCACTATCAGACTCAGAGTCCTCATCTCTTTGGACAGAATCAGCTCCCAAACTGACATCCTCATCTTGGTTGTCATCATTTTCATCCTCACAAGGATCAAGCACACTCTTAACCTGTGGTCGTTATGACTCACACAATAAAGTTTAAACCTGGACTAGGGATCCAAGATCTCATGGTTTCTGCAATCTTCATTGCTTACCTTGAGAGCTAACACAAAATGCTTGCTGTTTACGTTGCCAACCTCCATTTTCAAAGGGTTTTTCATCCATGGATGATGAGCTTCTTCTTCTGTACATGTTCTGAAGAACGGAGGCTCATAATCAGCTGGCTGCAAGATCAGGAACTGTTTTAGTGTAGTTTACTTGGTCAAATAAATCTATAGGTAGAAAAGAGAAAGAGCTTTAAATGCATTATTATTGGACTAATGAGAATCACAAACTTGGTAGTTAATCAAATGACCCTAGCGTTCTTTATAGGCATATCCCATTTCAGAAGTGCCATGGTTTGAAAAGAACAATAGTCTAATAGAAAGATTTCTCAAAATATCACCTCCCGTTACTGTTGGATAAGTGACAGAATCAGAACTGCCAAAGTAACAAATGGCTGAAGTTTATATACATATATTAGGGTGTAAGAGGTGTGTTCCTGAGTTTATTCATTGGGTGAACTATCACCTCTCATTAAAATTGCCTATACTTGAGCGAATTGAAGATATCTAGTCAATAAATTGGAAGGAATGCCAACTAGAAAAAGAAAACATATTAAACCTACATACACAAAGGGGCATACCGTAATATCATCATAGTAGAGGAGTTTCATCAATATAGTTCGCTGAAACAAAAAATCAAGAATCTTAGGGTCAAAGGCAATGCAGTCAACCATCACAAAAAAAGTTTAATTGTCAATAAACGAAGTGAACGCAACAATGTCAAAACATCTAGCAAAATATATCTCTGGACATTTTACCTCTTCTGGCATCTTGTCAAGAGTTCTCATCAATTGAATCAGTGTACGGACCATTTTACAAGCAGAACTCCTGAAAATTCTTCATTAGTGTCACTAACCAAGGACATACTGGAATTTGAAGGCAGCCAACAATGGACTTAAAATCAAATTTAGACACACCTCATCTGATTGGGAGTAATTTCTGTGGTGGAGTTACACTTGAATGTTCCACCTTTCTCATTTCCAGTGCGACTGACATTCATTGAGACTTCTTGACTATCAGAATGCGAATAACTGAAGGAAACTGCAGGGATAGAAATATCTTAATCAACTCTTAATGCAATAATGTCCAAATGCAACTTTATAAATTCAACCAACAGGAATTTGTATTGCCACTGTCATGGAGCACAATAATCAAGGGCCGCTTCATTTTGGTTTTTTTCTCCGGGAACCGGCTACTACCACACAGATGTGCAGCATGCTATTATTCATCTCTTGTTTAGTGATTCAGAGTTCAGACCTTCTACGGTAGAAGCACAAACAAAAATTCTATGTGCCCAATCTATGACGCAAACATTGAAGTAGCATTTGTGAAACTGGTAATTGTAACCCATTATGACTATTCACTATCCTCAAGAGATATCTACTCTTTCATGAGATCTTACAAGCATATTCCTCAATCATTGGACCTTCAATAGCTTCACACACACAGAACAGAAGTGTCTTCAGGTACTTTTTCTGCAATGCATCATAAACACCTGCAGAAAAACAGGGAAGGAAAACGGGTTGAAAAAGAGTGAAGTTTTTGAACTGAGAAACTCATCATCAGATCACCGAGTTGTTTAACGTGCCTTTCTCCATCCAATCGATCAATCTACGTGACTCTGCATCCATTGGCATGAGCTTCTTGATTTTCATCTCTGTTTACAATTTCAAAATTGAAACATACTAATTTTAAAAATAGGTTTTCAATTTTTGGGAACTTGGAAGATTATTCATAAAAGAATGCTTACCTAGGGCTGGAACAGACTTATCATTAAAGTATTTTTCAGGAAAAAGGCCTCTGATGTAACTAATATTGAATATTGCAATCCGCAGTAAATTCCTTGTCTGTTTCAGGTGAAATCAACAGACAACGTGAGACCAACACAACAAAGCAATTACACAAAGCAGAGAAAACAAATACAGAGTCTCACTCGTGATTCAATCAATATCGCAATAAAGCCTCTGAGTTTTCATACAAGAGGTAGAAAAAACCGAAACAACTTACGTCAAAAATCTTTCTATTATCGCCAGATCTTCAAATATATAAAAATTAACGAATTAGTTAGTGGAGAAAACAGAATTTAATTTCAATGTTATATTAATCAATCGATGTAGTGACTTACATTGTGAGAAATCAAAGACCAAATATCATCGGAGAACTATAATCGTAGTATAAAAATTAACTCATGTCTCTGTTTTGACGAAATTACGGATTATAGCAGAAAACTGAGCTAATATCTCTGTTAATACAATCATCTCCAGATGAAAATCCAAATCTAATAAGCTCTATGAAAATCAGAATGATCAGTACGAATCTTATCTTGCTGCCAGAACTTCATTAGAACAGGAATCGGAGTAATATATTTGAGATTCTTCCAAAATTTTGAAAATCAAACAATTTCGGTCACTTGAATAATCTTGAAAATCCACCGTTTCAATAAAAGATAAAAACAGATTTCAAACTCGATTGATTATGAAATAAACTGGTGCAATAATGTAAATCAGAAAAAATTCCAGAAAACGAAATAGGTTCTGAAATTCTTACGAAAACAACCTTATATCTCTGTTTAATAAGATCATCTGAGAACTAAATCAAAATATAGTAAAATGTAAGAAAATCGAGTGAGTTATTACTAGGAGAAGTGAGTCCTGCTCCGTGATCTCTGATTCCTTCACTTTCTGCACAACAACCTGGAATTTTGATGGAATTAGAGTGAAATTAGAAGATAATGGAAGCAAAGAAAAGAACGGAGTGAGAAAGATGAACTAGAAACGAATGCTTGAGAGAGATTTATGAGCTCACCATGTTTTCAGATTTCAGAGACTGAGACTTAGAACTAAAGAGCAAGTGTATGATCGATAGAATTGGTATGGAATTTTCAAATTGAAACTTTGTTAGAGGAAGTGAAGGAACTGGCGGGAGGCATGAGGCGTTGCGTGTTTACATATATAGTAGTAATCCTGAAATCTGACCATGGTTAATAGAGAACCACCCGTGGTTAATTGGGCAACGCGAATCGCGTTGAAGAATGGTTGGATGCGTAGTTTTTGTATAATGCAGGGCTATTTTGGTCTTCCGCACACATATAGGCTATATTAGTATAGGGCCTATAGGCGAGTGGAGACGTACTGTTGGGCTTCTATCGAGCCCATATGGCTGAGTGGAGAGACACTGCTGGGCCTTAGTGAATCCTAAATCTTTGCCAGGGGTAGTACTAGTACCTTAAAGGAACAATTGTGGGGCCGAGGAGCCTGCCTTCAAAAGCCACTCAATGGGTTTATCTCAGCATGGCGTTTACGGTCGGAATGTTTTTTGATGCAGCAGAAAGATTATTTCAGTATAATCTAAACGCTATGGATTCGAGTCAAAAAGTCATTCAAAGGATTATTTTGGCAAGAGATTAAATGCCATTTGTTTGTACAGCAAGAGATTAAATAAGGTTACTTTATTATGATCTAGATGTCGTCACATATAGTTATTAAAATAATATTTTTATACGAAGGGTGCAATTTAAACAAGTTAATTTGGAACCTACTGAAAAATCAATATTTGGGTAAAAGATTTGTAATACTCACTTTAGGCTTAAAGTAAAAAACTCTACACCCAATTCATATTTGAAGAGTACTCAGGTTATAGTATTGATTTTCAATAAAATCCAATGCAATTGAACTCCTCAATTTTTAGTACAAGTTATGAAACTCGAGAATCAAACTCGAATTAAACACAATTTCGATCCCCAATTTACCCAAAAATTGAACTCAAGTTTTCAACCAAAATCCCCACGTTCAAAATTTTAAGCTAAGATAATACTTTACTTGAAAATTTTGGATTAAGTAGGAGTTCAAGTTGAATTCATTACAAAGATTTTATAATTCGGATAGAGGCCACGATGTTGACCTCTCGTTATAAAGATTAAATGTCATTTGTTGATTTAGATGTTTATTGATAAATAAAATAACCGAAAGAATATACTCCGACAGAATTACAATGCTTTAGAGAGAGAGAGAGAGAGAGAGAGACTTGGTGTGTAGAGAGGTGTCAAGGTGTAAAAGTCTCAAGATGATGTCTTTCTATCTAAAAATGACTTACATTATATAAGTTTGGTGAGACGGTAACGTGAGGGAGAGGGTTCTACTCTTTTGATAAATACAATTAAGGTAAAATCAATATTCTCTCTCCCCAAGTGCTCCTATCTTCTTGGACTCCTTGGACTTGGACTGAATTGGATTGATAAAGTGGACCTAAACTGCCTTTTAACCGACTTAGGCTCACAGTAAATTTATTAAATCTGACCCAGTTGAGTTTAGACTCATCATACCAGATTGGCTAGGCGATGCTCGCGTAACTGGCCTACTGGGTTATTTCATATTAAGGGGTTGCAGTGACCAAACCCAAGCAACTGTTCACCAAAAACAAAAGTCTCCATAAGCCGTATCAACTGCTTGTGTCTGAATAATAATAATAATCTATTTATCAAGTGGATTTGATAACTCATATTTAGAAGCCCAATGAAAATGAGCATGAGAATTTGAGTCCAACAAACATGATACATGGGCACAAACCAACAGGTCAACAATCACATCTGGGGAGCACCAATTGACCAGAATAGCATAGGAATGACCTCTTTACCAGATTTTACTTCTCAAAAAAACCCCAAAACCTCAAGGACCTGAACAGAAACCTTGTTCACATCATTGAAGAGTTCTGATGTGAATAGGCCTCAGAACGTTGGTTAAAAGATGCAAAACATCTGGTATCCATCAAACCACCAAAAAACGTCGCATCTGAATGCGAAGAGCACATGTTAAAAAAAAAATGTGGAGAGCAAACTGGTCTCCAAGACTCGATCTCATCGAAAAAGAAAGAATACTAGCATGACAAAAATAACACGTGTGCATGCATGGATATTATGGTCTAACATAGAAACAGAACACTTTGGAGAATTCTATTTAATTTTTGTGTTCATTTTCAAAGAAACTCAAATACTTAGATAAGCAGGGTGTTGGCTTTCCATCGTACATAGATCTTGAGGAACGAAGTTCTGATTCCCAAACTAACCTCATTCTAAGAGGTACTGAAAGGTGTTCGGGCAATGAGCTGACCATCTTTGCATCAAGGCATAAACATACAATACATGATACAACCCGTGATCATTTTTATCCATCCTTGATCATCACAGTTTTTACTTCAAATCTTATTTTTGCGAAATCATACATAACCAAGAGAAAGACCACTATACGGAAGTATAAAATACAGGCAAAGTAAATTTACATGCCCACAAACTCTCACCTTTCAAAAGGATCTCCTCTGTCGAAGTTTAAAGGACAAACTGCAGCAGCTATTTTCTCACGAAGGTTGAATTTCTTTGCAATCAATGGTCGAACATCTTCAACTTCAACTAAACTCTCCAAAAATGGAAGCAGCAATAGCAATTCTTTGTCAGAACGGTCATCAAACCAGCTTTCAATTGGTATTCCATTGTCCACCTGGAACCCAAATGCCTGAAATTAAAACCATCATGTGGTTAACCAACTTTCATTTTTGGCATTGCTGTCATGAAACTACCAAGCAAGTGTCCTGTACTTCTTTGGATAAAGACATAATTCCAATAGTATATTGTTATGTAACCTGTTCGTATTAAAATAACCTTATTCACATCACCTAATATACCTTCTTTCACGTACACATACACACACCCACACCTCAACCACCTCATATATTTGTGCAATTGTTCAGCAAGCCAATTGTTCAATTATTGTCCTCAAAACAACTAAAAGAACAAAAATTTAAATCTTCCTCCATATGACCATTGGCATAAAACAGGGAAAAGTAATTTCTCCCATCAATATCCATGCAGCATGGTTAGCAGCAATGTAAATTATGTAAGTTTGAGAATGACAACTTTTTTTTCCAAGCCAATATATAAGAATTTTAGGAAAGCATAATAATCTAAAAAAGTAAATGAAAGAAGCAAAGAATAAAAATCGAAAATATATAAACTACAACAAAAACCCCACTACGAGTGTAATTATGTAAGCAAAAGAAAACTATACAAAAGTACCTGCGGAGAGTTGTCGATTATGATAACATGTGCTAAGTCACGACCAAGAACAGAAAGATCTTTCAGATAATTCCCCTCAACAAAAACACAGGACTCACGGTAAACACGATGGCGAAATATTTTCCGCTTTGGATCCAGCACATTCAGAAGCTGCTCAGCATAAATGCTTTGGCTGGCGGTAAATATAATAATCTCAAAAAGGCCTGATAACCTCTCCAAAAAATCTTGGAGATAAGGACGGCATCTAACAAAGACTGTGTGGTCATTGAGATTGAAATTTACGGTAAATGTGAAATCTGCATTATCACAGGGTTCTAGTGTAGAGTGCACCAAGGTCTCTGTCAAATAACCCAAAAAATGTCACTTTTAGTACATGCCTCAAATATAGAGGCTAGATTTTTATCAACAACATTGACAAGCATCCAAAATCAAATATCAGATATCTCACTAATAAATGGCAAATACAGTAAAGCACAAAAAAAAATTGTGCTTCTTATACATTATATGCGCACAAGATCACCTAGTGAACTGGATCAATTAGTTTGCTTTATGCTCCCACCTCCCACCAATGTCAAAAGTCAATATGCATCATAAGTAAATAGAAAATCTTTGAAACCAATGTTTAGCTTGTAAATTTTCAGGAAATTCCCTCAGTCATTTGAAAAATTACATAGAAACATTCCAGCTTAGTGGTGGGTCTCCCCTTATTTTAATCTACCACTAGCTGACCAAACTGTTTTTACTTACACCTGCAGGTGACGTTCTCAAAATGACCACTTAGTCTTCCAAGAAAGGGTTTAGTTGAACAATGCCCATCATACCCTCATTTAAAGTTCGAATGATTATCTTGTAAAGTTTATTCCGCGAGCACATTCATAATCAGCAGAAATCTCAAACATGAAAAATAAAAAATAAACGCCTCCACCAAGAGAGAATGATTTTGATGCGTACATCCAAGTTTTGTTACAATATAGACCAATGATGCATTTATTTCAAATTAGAGAATCCAAACAGAAAGATGATGTTGAATCAATACCCCATTAGTCATCACATTTAACATTAAAATCAGAATAAAAACATTCCAAAACTTTAATTCCATCCAATTCCAAAGTAACAACTGTGGATCTCAAATTATAATTCTACCTAGAATTTTCAATTTAACATCAGAAAGTCTGAATCAAGCTACTAGTTCAAAATCATAAAGAGCAAAAGGTCCAATTAAAGAATTTCCATGTAGAAGAGTGATGAATGGCATAGAGGTTGGACTAATACTGAAAGAAACCGCTGTATGGATACGCCAAAAAACATGACACAAGTATTGCTGCATTGAGAGAGGGCAAATGAATAGTGACATAGTGATGGTGACGGATGTAGTTGGATTAAGGGACAACTACTAATGTGTGTCGGTGGGTGGGTGTGGGTGGGTGTGTGTGTGTGAGAGAGAGTCTGTGTCTGATGTTTTATGCTAGTCATTATCTGATGAAGATGGATGGTTTCAGTGATGATGGGATAAGGATGATGAAAGCATGTGGAGATAAGGGTGTCCTGTTTGGTGAGAAGGTGATTCTTTGGTTGGCTGGTTGCAGAATAAGCCAATAAAATGATGTGATAATGGAGGCTAGGGGACCAGCGGAGAAGTGGTGAGCATATGCATCACTCTTTGCCAAGAAAGGGGGTGCGGGGGTTGTATGTGGGGCATGATTTAGACAATACATTGATTATGGCTAGGAAACCTAGCGCTTGGCCACAGGAGTTTAGGTGCAATGAGAACTGAGGTGGATAATATGAGGAGAAATATGTATCATGCTCATCAATTTGATTTTACATGACTTTTAACAGAGGGGATATGATGAATGCTTCTTTTAAAACCATGTCCAGCAAAATTTGCCTAAAGGTGTAATTTCAGAAACATGAAGGAAGCTCTCTCAAGAGAATAATGTCAGGGAAGGTCAAAGCAACATCTTTATCGTATGTCTAATTCAATCACCAGAAGTTAACAAGAAAATACATAAACCTAGATGATAGCTTCCAATACTACAACAAGTTCACGTGGTATAGAAAATTTAAGCAAAAAAATATGTTTATAAGTACAAGTGAGTGTGATAACAGCAGTGTACAACTGTTTACGTTCAAAGGTCCATTTGAAAAGAAGAAAGAGACAAATGCCCTGAAAGATGAAAGATCTAAAATAGAAACTTCAATGAATCTGGTGACTTGTTTACATCTACATCCATAGAAAAACCAATCGTGAAACCCATATTTGAGAGCATTTACGAAGCTGCTAGACACATCTGAAATAAATTTAATGGACTACCAGCAAATATGCTTACCATCCAAGTCCAACACAAGGGTAGTTGGCGGGCAACTCCGCGTCTGTTTAGGCAGTAGCACAGGCCGAAAAGTCGGAACAACAGACAGTAAGTCGGGTAAATTCTTTATGAATAAGTATGGATCAAAGTCGTCCAATTCTTCACAATCCTCCTCCTCCATACAAACATCAGTTGACATATGATCTTGGTTGTACTCATCGACACATTCCAACTTTGAGTTTTTCATTGAAACATATATTGCTGAAACTTCAGATGACAGACCACCTCCTAAATTTGTATTCCATCACTTCAAAACATTAGTATGTGAAAGAAACATCTAACTCCCCATGGGATTTAGGCATTATTAATTGTGTACAATAGCTTATTACCAGGACATGTGACATTCATTAAAGTCATTGCTTCCTCATCAGAATTCTTCTCTTGCATAACACAACAATTCAGCAAATCAACCTGTAAGGTCTCTTGATCTTGTCCACAGTCCTGGAATTGCTGCTCCCCTCTCTGGAAAAAATTGAAGAAATCGGCTGGGCCAAAAAAGGGATCGTAAGTATTCATAAAGACAAGAATACATGAGGAGACGTGCAAACATCTTATGGGGAGCAAGGGCAGATAGGGGAAGACAACCACATCATTTTATAAACATCAAACTCATTATCTACCTTTATTTGCAATTTCCCCTGCAACACTTCTAGAAATATGAAAGGTGGGAGAAAATATAGTTTCCGCCATCTGATGACCAGTTCCATCATCGTGGCCCTGCAATATGACAGAAACAACTATACTCAAATCTCTTTACTTTTTGGACATTCACATTTCACAATTCTTACATCTGACACTTATGTGATACTTTTTTTGAGCGCAACAAAGGCACTCAATATAATGAACCATAAGAATATGTAATCAAGCATGGATGACTGAAACATGATACAAAATATTGTTCAGAATGTTATGCAATGGCTTCAACCCTCAGATTTTTCAGATAAGAAACGGTAATGCCCCGTTAGCAGCAAACATTCAGCATTTTTTGCTCAGTGGAGGACTGCACAAAAATGAACACCATTCAAATCCTCTTATGCAGTTGTTGACAAAATCCTTTAACTATGCTCCCCCACAACAAAGAAATGTATTATAGTACAACGTATAAGACACTTGCATTTAAGATAACCTTAAAAAAAAATAATAAATAAAACAGAACAGAACACAATTCAATACAAAATAAGTATAAAAATTACATTACGGTCAATGGAAGCATATTTAGTCCCATTATTATCATCATGGCCCAAACACACAGCAGAAGTGTCATCATCCACCACACCGTGTCTATTCTTCAAATCCGCTGCAGCAACATGTACTTCGATTGTCTTTGGAACAGTTCCTGCTGACAGATTCGGAAATGAAATATATAAGTCCAATAGTGAATCTAAAAAATGTTAAACTGCATAATTCAACGAATTCATGAACAAAATTAAGTCAGACAAAATAAAAGAAAATAACCACCTCAAACATATATTCATAAATGAATAAGATTGAGAGAATCGTCAATAATTTAGAAGAGAAAAAAACAGCTTAATTCGACAATGTCCCTCTTTTTTGTATTACATCAAGTTGGACAGCTTCTTGTGGAATTTAGCTTGTGTGTCCTTTTTTCATGTTTTGAGTGACTGTTGGGCTGGACATCTTGTCCACCTTATTAATAAGTTTGTTTCCTATCAAAAAAATATATATTGAAGGAGTACAGTTGCCAATTTGAGATATTCTCATAGTAGTACAACCATCTCATGATGTTATCATGAATTCTTCTTCTTTTTTCTTCGAGGGTCATGTCATGGTCAAGAAATAAGAGAAGAAACCCTGAAGAATGGTGGTCATTGAGCAGTTTAGTAGTTGAAAAGCTAGTAGATGAAACAAACATTTAAACTCCTCCAAAGACTTGAACCCAAGTTTGTGGTACGATGTTTGCCACGCCAATTAAAAATGACCCAATGACCCCAACCACAAAGTGGCATACAAAAAAATGATATGGTAAAAGAAGTATATAAAGCAATGCCATCAAAATTCAATTGTGTTTGTGGTTTCACCATAAACTAATACATAGCATGAGAAAGACCAGACTGATTGGTAAAACAGTACTTAAGGAGCTATTTCACTATTAAATTGAATCTCTTATGTAAGTTTGAGATAGATTCATTATAAGTCACACCCAATACATAGTTCACCACACACGTACATCATCACATGAATTGCAACTAAGCATACATGCCTACAAACATGTCCATGATTTGACAGGGAGCTATCCTCACATCCATAATATAAACACTGCTTTCAAGACACCAACTTACCATGCCTTTGCTTCCTAGCAGAAGATGTGATAAAATCTGAAACTTTATTATCTTGAATTTGCACATTTTCAGAAACCTTCTTCTGATGTTTTGATACCTTTGGACTTGCAAGCTCTCGAGAAGAATTTCTTCCCATATACTTTTTCTTGGTTTGCATCCCAAACTTGCGGAAGAATGTCCAAGTCCAGAGATGCTTGCTTTTGTCAATGTGCTCCAGTTGAATCTATTACAACACCAAAATAAATGCAGTCCTAAGAAGTAATGTGCTGAGGGAAGAAAACCATCAAGTGAATGATATTCATACCAAGTATTGATGATGAAGTAAATCACCACCACCAAACTTAAGCATGCAAGGATATGGTTGATGTTAACATATAAAGAAAAGCAGCATCGTCAACGATTGTACTGGATAGTTGCATCAAACCCCTAATAAGAGGAAGACAGATGCCAAGAAAGAAACATATGAGGTGTCCATACACCAAGAAACTCAAAAATAAACATATGCAAACCCATTGAGGCGTCCAACAAAATGTGATGATGCACGAAGACAGATGTCAAGAAGGTGAAAATCTCTGTAATGTTGAAAAGGATATTATACCACAAAGTGTCACATGAAACACAATAAACTCCCACCAAACCTCCTCCCTCCATCTCTTTCTTCTGTTATTCTCTTGTTTGTTAGAAAGAGGATAAATGAGCATTTCATTTAATTTCTAATTAATAATCTCAGCCGAGCAATCTTGATTTTTATGCATCCTAGACTAAGAAGCAAAAACACTTGCAGGTCTGCACCATGTCCATGTCATAACAAAACAATTATTGTACGCTCTTGGACATGTTCAAACTTAAAATGCGAAAATTTAATTTCAAACAAGTATTCAAGCTTCATTGGATACAACAACATGAGACTAACAAGCTTGAAAGTGGGGTGTTAAAATCTCAGGGCATAAAATAGTAATTACACTAGATGTCTCTACAAAAATTGCTTGGGACTTATCTTTATTATGAATATGTATTGACCTTCATCTATATTGTAAAGCTACAAGCTCATAAATGTTAATAAAGATTTCATGTTAAGACATATTTATCAACAGAAAATAATAGTCAAATCAAGCCAATTCCCTAGTCAAACTCATATATCATCTTAGCTAAAAAACCGGAGAAAGACCATTGTCCCAACCTTGCTAGCACCAAAGGTGTAAAATTAACTAATGAACTAATAATTGTATGCCCTTGTTGTATTCATCGCTTACTTTTTAGGATTTTTCATGATGTGGTATCCATCCCATATCATGTTAGTGTCCCTTCAAACAACCCCCCCCCCCCCAATTGAGTGTAGAGGTGACACTCCTCCTTCCAACGAACTACATGAGTGTGTCATAAACTTTTCTTCAAGACACTAAGTCATTACTCCCCAAAGAACAACCTTGTTTCTTTAGTTTTATAAGTCTATACATGTGATCACAACTGTTCTCATATGTTGAGAAAACAAGCATTACAAAATCTCTTTTATTTACTGGCAATCTCATACCATCCACATTGTTGAGATTTGAGCAAGGCAAGCATTCAAAGGCCACCCTGGGAAATTTCTATTCACAAATATACAGGTGATCAACCCTTCCTTCGCCATAATGAAACTCAATGCATTACCAACTCTACACTTAATGCGGCCTTTCCTAGGTCAAATTTGAAAATCTAAAAGCAAAATTCAGAAAACATAAGTTGAAATAGGAAGCAAACCCAAAAGAACAATATTGAATTTTCAGCTTCACATCATCAGTAAAAAATAGGTACTAATCACTAAACATTATCATGAAAAAACAGTAGGTTATCACTAAACATCCATTGAAGGTCAAACACTTATTACCCTTCCTTTGAACACATGCACTTGCAGCTCCAGTAACACCACAAATTGACTCAGGCCAACAACCTAAAGTTGGTTATGTGCATCCTAATGCGTTAGACTGCTCTATTCCATGTTTTCTAGCCCCTTTCCAACAGCAAAAGCTGATATAGCTGATGCAAGAGTTCCATCTAACTCTCCCAAGCTTCCATATCTTTTCTTTCTGATAAACCAATACATGTTAAATTCAGTCCTCATCTACCCCAAGCATGACCGTCAACAGGAATCATGTAACGAAGCTAATCATGCGAAATCAAATTCCAGAACAAGAAACCAACAATAAAGTTAACTCATTTTTCAAGCTTTATCACCATGAATCAAGTTATAACCACTACGCACAGCAATAACCCAAAACTTGAACTGAACAAAACCCTAGAACAGGAATACCAAAACAGAGAGCACAAATCCTGCATGAACAACTACAAAAACCTCAAATTAAAGCTAAAACCAAGTTCAAACACTGATACCTGCCACGAAATCAAACATGCAAAGATCACAGCTGTAACGGTTGAGTTACACTAGCTGGCCCTGCAAGTGGTGAAAACCAGTGAAACTCAACCATTGAAGAGAAAGTAGAGAGAGAAGTGAAGCTTGAAAACTAAAAATTCTAGGGTTTTACCAGTAACAGGAATTTAGAGGCTAGTTTTCAGTGTTTGGAAAATTTTCCCACCGAAGATTGGAAAAGGATAAAAAGAGAGGGAAAACGAGGGTGGAATCAGAAATTATTTTTCTGGTCCGAAAGAAACAAAACTGATTTATTAATTTCCGTAGAAAAGGGTTTTCCACTTACCCAAAAAAACCAAAGAAAACCATCCTCTTGCGGACAGGGGTCTTAGTTATTTTTAACAGGTCCTATACTTCTCATATTTCCAATGGAAACCCCTTGTATATCCAAATTTGTATAGTTTGCCTGGTCCCTAAGGCCAAGGCCACATAAAGAAACTAAAAAAAAAAATTATAATTATTTTATTCTTTATTGATGGGTTTTTTCTTTGGTAAATCTTTGTTGATAGGTCCAAGGAGAGTAATATGTATATACTTAATATTTGGCATTATTTACGAGGATGATAGTCCTGAAACTCAAAATTTAAGATTATTCAATTCAATTTTAATAATGGAATTAATTGCACATAAAAAATAGATGATAATGCAAATCAAGGACAGAGTCTTATTTTTTCCTAACAGGGAGCCAAATGTGGCTTGAACAAAAAAAAAATTATTCAAATGACAATCATTTAATGAGTTATTGTCAATGCCGAATTTTGAAGGATGAATCATACAATATATTCAAAATTATATTAAAAAAAGAAAAAAAAATAAAGACCGTACATTGAGAATAGATAATATACTTTTGAAAATTTGGACGGTCATGTAGTGAAATCATTCAAATAATTTTAAAGATATTAACATAATTTTGTAAACTTGAGGCGGGTAGGCACCCCTTTACCATAACATAACTATGTCATTCAATAAATTAAGAGTAAAGTCAATCACATGATTTTCAACGTTTTTTTTATAACTACTAATGATAATTCTTAAATATTTAATGGGTTATAGGAAAAAACAAAATACTGTATAAGATAAATCAAATATAGAAATGATATCTTCTTTCCAAACAATGTAAAATTGTTTAAGTTTGATTATTTTTTTCGTTAAAATAGGTAATATGCAGTAGCAATTTTTTCCTAAAAAATCAATAAAATGAAGTTACATATCTGTTTAGTACATACTGTCTTTGACAACATAATGACCGTTTACACGTAATCACACATGAAGGTGTTTGTTGCAAATATGAAAATGAGAGGGTCTTCCAAAGAAAATATGGAGGCTATTTATGTAAATTTAAGAAAATTGCAAAATTTGTTTGCAGCTGCAGTGGCTCCATTACATTAACACCATTGAATTTATTCAAAATTCCGGGCCACGTGGAGAAACTATTCATTCTTAGTTTGAAATTTGAAAGCATAACATAGGCCCCGCAACTCCCACTCAATAAAAAACACACTATTTGAGCAGCAAGGTGTACAGCCAACCCAACAAAAAATTACAACTGAATTTGAATTTGAATTACATGTATCCAGTGTGGAGAAAATATTGGGTGTAATAATAATGTTTATGTAGTGTAATTGTTCATTAATGATTGAATACATAAGCAAGTGAATCTTATAAAATTAAGTAACCATCCATTTATGTAACCACCTCCATATAAGACAATGGGAATGGGGTCTACTTTATTAATTTTTAAAATTTTATTTTAAAATTAATTTGATCGCTAATATTAACATCCCAAAATTTAATAGTAAAAATAGGGCTCTAAAGGTGTATTTGATGTGATTTTTTTAAAGTATTTATAGAATTTGTAACTTTTCACAAATACTTTTTTTTTAAAAAGTAATGTTTGGAACCGCTCCTACTATCACCACTGCCACCACACTCTCATTGCCCCACCACTATTACCCCCACTGCCACCCCACCACCACTATCGTCGTCGTCATTCCACTACCACCTTAACCACAACAACTATCACCAGCGTCGTCGCCACCCCACCAACATCTCCGCCACAACAACCATCGTCACTATCCCACCACCACTATCTCACCATCACTCTTACTACCACCAACGTCACCGCCCCACAACCACCACCTTCCCACAATTATCACCACTACCACCGTCGTCACCCCCACCAACCACTAATTGCTACCACTGCCTCCACTGCCACCACCATTGTTATTTTATTCTTATATTTATTATCACTATCACCATCATCCACCGTCAACACCCATCACCACCACCATTGTTGCCCATCACCATCCACCACCACTCACTACCACAACTCACTACCACCTGTTGTCACCTACCATTTGCCGTTACACACTGTCACCCACCCACACCACATCTACCACCACCATATGACATCGTCCACCACTGCCGCCACCCACTATTACCCACCCCTACCACACTTACTACCACCGTCATTCGTCACCATCCATTTTCACTGTCGCCTAGACAACATTCGTCATCGTCCACCACCACCATTATCACCGCTCACCACCACAAACCCACCACCATTATTGTCGCCCTACCACCACCATTACTAACCACCATCATCATCGTCCACCACCACCACCCACAACTACCACTATCACAATCGTTACCAAAAATTCACCACCATCATCACCATTGCCACTCATGGCTGCCACCATCATCACGGTCGTCATCACCCACCACAATTATCACCGTTTTTCACCACCACCACTATCACCGTTCACCCCTCATTACAACCGATGTTTAAATTCTATTCTATCGCTTCTATGTTTGTGATTTGATTTTAATTGTGAATATAAATATATTTATTGTTGATCATTTTCTTATTACTTCATGCCTGTAGGTACGAATAATAACTAGTCTATATAATAAAGTACAATACAATTCAAATCTTAAAGAGATAAACAGAATTATTTTTGCTTTTCACCGTAGAGATATTTTTAAATTTTACTTTAAAATTAATTCGGCGGCTAATATTAGCATCCCAAATTTATTAGGGAAAATAACCTCTAAAGGTGTGTTTAAGGTAAAAGTGTTTCTATAACTTGTAACTTCTCATAAGTATTTAAAGAAAAAGTAGTGTTTGAAATCGCCCCACCACCGCCACCACCCCCACCATCACTATCACCACAAATAGCCACCCCCACCCCCACCCAACCACCACCACTGTCGCAACCCCTACCACTACCACCACCACCACCTCCACCGCCCCCACCACTACTGCCCCACCACCACCACTACCCCCACCTCGACCATTACCAACCCCACCCCGACCATTACCACCACCACCCCTCACTGCCCCACCACCCCATCACCACTGTCATCACCCTACCACCACCACTCTCACAACCATCACCACTACCACCACTATCGTCGCCACCTCACAACCGCCACCGTCGCCACCCCACCACCATTATCCACTGTCACCCATTACCACAACCCATCACCATCTGTCATCATCCATTATCGTTGCTAACCACTATCACTCACTCCCACCACACTGACAACCACCATCCGTCATCACCCACCACCATCGCTATCCATTGTCACCTATCACCAACACCACCATCGTCATCGCCATCACCCATCATACTGTTTGCTCAGTGCCCCACCACCACCACTGCCAACCACCATCACCGTCGCCCACCATTACTTATACCCACCACTATCATCATCGTTGCCACTCACATCTGCCACCACCACTAGGTCATCGCCACTTACCACAACCATCACCGTCTCCCACCACCACTACCACCGTTCACCACCACTATAATCGGTGTTTAAATTCATTTCTCTCTCATCTATGTTTTTTATTTAATTTTGGATGTAAATAAAAATATGTTTATTATTGACTATTTTTTTATTACTCTGTACCTGAAGGCACGAGCAATAACTAGTACTAAATATTTGTTTTAATTTTCAACAACCATCTTTAGTCCCATTCAAAGTACTCGCTAAATTATATCACTGATCCATTACACTTTCACTCTAGCCAAATTTGGTAAGTGCTTTTTTTTTTTTTTGAGCTAACTTCTCTCTGGAATAAAAACACATACAACTAGACCTCGCCAAAATACACATACAACCAGACCTTGTGTATTTTATGCTGGAACACAAGCTAGGATTGTAATGAGGAATTCAAATCTCAAATGCAAATACATGAAAAATGGGTCTAGATCAAGTTTCAAAATCCACTAAAACTTGAGCTAGGCTTTTGGGAGAGCTTCAGACACTTTTAAGCATGGCACTTGAAGGCAAGTTCAGGTTGACCAGCTCTATCCTAAATTTACTCCTCCACTCAGTAACCATTGTTATAGATTCTGTCTCTATGTCTTATCCTGTGCCGTTTAGGGGAACAACACCTATGTGGACTGCAGAAGATCCCCACCCTTCAATGTCTCATCCAAATGCAATTTTCTCGGGCTCTAAGCGATGAAAAATAGTGAAAAGGATCAGATCAGAACAAGATACAAATGCTGTCTGTTTATACATTATGTGCAGTACTACTGCACTACAGCAGTTTTTCGGATCGAATTGTTTTCACTGTTCCATTATTCAAACCACTTAAAAGCCTGATACGTCGACAGAAACCACCTATATTACACCAGAGTAGACATGGAAGTCTTCACTTGAACGAATGATTTCAAGTTATTGTTCTAGAAGGGGGAAGTCTTAGACCGGAAATCAATCTGGAATGAGACCAATCAAGTTGAAATGAACGCTTGTTTGTAGTCTTATGGCAGCTATGTGTATGTGAGTTCATTATTGCCTGTATCCCACATCGTTTATTTATAAGAGGAAAGTGCAGCTAATAAACAACAGGCCCCATAAAAAAGGGCTGTCCCTTTGGGGACATTTGATAAAATTGGAACAATACAGAGAAGATTAGCATGGCCCCTGCGCAAGGATGACACGCACAAATCGAGAAATGGTCCAAATTTTTTTTGCACTTTTTGCCCAAGTTTTCTAGTTGTAAGTTTACAGATTTTTCCATCTTGGCCATTCTATGTATTAGATAAGCAAAGATGATACAATTCAAGCGTCATCGTCCTGATATGTGTGTAAAACTTGCAGGGGTTGTGCCAATTCTTGTAAATTTTAAATCTGCTGCTCTTCTCAGAATATGGGAACTTTGAGAGTTTGAGTGGCTGAGGTGGATATTTTACTCATTTAATCCTAGAAAACTACGAATTGTTCCTCCTTTTCCTTTCCATGTCTGGAAAAACTGTACTGGGAATGCAGAGACTTATCTAAAGCATATGAACATTAGGGAAGATAAGAAGGGTGAATCATATTTATACCCTTAAAATTTACAACTAATTTCTAGTTGGCCTCTAAGTCTTCAAATTTTAAGTGATGCCCTTCTATCCAAACCACTCAGCAGTTTTAAAGACAACCTGTCATTGTTTCAAAATGAGGGTTAATTTTGATAAGCGGACTTCAATCAGTCCAAGATAATAAAACCATCTGTAACAATAACATAAGTATGAGACTCTTTGGCAGTACCGATGAACCAGATGGCCGTGGTGATGGAATCTGGGATGGAGGTGTCCATAACTTCTAATCAAGCAGTTTATGTACCTGTAGATAATTTGACCTACCCTGCCTCTGCTACGACATTTGCACATTTAAATGCTACTCCCGTACTATCAAGAGGATTAGTTGCCAAAGGTATCTATCCAGATACCAGCTGTAGATCCTAGCTTGTGTTCCAGCATTTAGATCCTAGCTTGTGTTCAAATTTTGTGTGTTGGCTCCTAAGCTGCATATTAGCCTTTCAGTTGCACGAGTTAACTTATTCGCACTAAGATTTTGAAGCGGTTAATTGCATGTTTTGGTTCATTTTTTTGCAAAATTGACCCAATGATATATTTATTTGGCCAAATTTAACATTATGACACCATTGTGTGATGTTCACGTGATGTTTTTCCATCACAGTTATCGACAAATATAGGCTACAAGAATTAACTGAAACACGTCTCGGATTTTGGGATTTAATTATTGTAACTTTATGATTCATCGATCAAATAGAAATTAGTACCTAATTTCTATTTCCTCATATAAGAATGATTTCGTTTTGCATCAGTTCAAGGTCATGGTAATCTAGAAAACTGTGTTACATGTAGAACAAGGATCTACACAACTGTAGGACTATCCAGAGAGTTTTCAATGTCAAAACCAAGTTAGAAATCAAAACCCCAATGTGCAGTTTTGGCCTCACACCGTAGGAATGATGAAGAATGACATTGTCAATCACAGGGCCACAGAACAGATTGTCACTTGTCTGTGTGCCATTAAAGCTTGCAAAACTGATACAATTCAGGATTATTTCTGCCTTGAACCTCAAAGAATGATTCTGGGCAGTCCCAGAACCATTGCTTCGCATTGTGAAGTTCCATATAGTCATTCCTACTTGTGCATACACAGTAAAATCTCCCACACAGGAGTCATTGGCGTCTCCCATCATGAACTCCAAGGTATAAGTAGAACCCACTGTGAGGGCTGCGCTGGTTAGGACGACTGAGGGAGCACCGGAGACTAGCTCTATCACTGCTTTTCCTTCGGGGACTGAGTAGTGTTTGGAATCTATATACTTCACTGTCCCAATGATTGACCATTGTTGCAGTGCAGATTGTTGTTGTCCATCAGGCTCGTCGTCTAGCAAAAATCCCCTCTGTGGAGTTCTTTGGAAATGCTGGTCCTATCTCAAAACCGCCATTCACCAGCATGTTATGTGCAAATTACATACAAAAATTAAAGCATGATCTCGAATTTGGCCATGTTTTTATAATTCATTTCAGCCTGAGCTTCAGGGCAAACACAAACTCTATAGGACTTAAAGCCTTTTGCTATGAAAACTTCCATGTAAAAAAATAAAAAATAAAAAAAATGAAAACTTCCATGACTGGTACTCCTTTGGGAAACTCTCCCTCACGAATGAGCTTGACATATTTCGAACCCTATGCATCTAAGATTTTCTTATTACCAATTTTTACTGCCCATAACGAGAAATTTCAATTCAGTTGAACAGAATAAGCAGGCTAACAGAGCCTATTGTGGGGACTTGAGCAATGCTAGATGTTTTTCATCGTTCAAGATGATCCCATAGACCATAGTATAGCAGTTTAATATGACCGTAAGATCATGCCCAAGCCATGTCTGGTAGACGTGCGTTTTTTGAATTTATTGATGCTAGTTGTAAGATAGTCTGGAGCATGACGGTATTACAGAAATTTTTAGACCATGTTTGGTATTGAACTGTAACTGCTGTACAGAGTTTGTAGCATAATATATTGAACATGTCGACAGTCTTCCCTGCGTAATCAATTCTGCTTGTTTTTTCTAGTGAATTTGGCATGACTGATTTTTTCCCGATCTTCAAGGTTTTCGTGTAACTCAATTTGTTTGTGCTTTCTTTTCATGTTTTTCTGGTGTAACTGCATACCAGATCTTGGGTCAGAGAAAGTATAACTAAAACCAGTTTTTGTCATTTTTCATTCCTGGTTGTGCATCTTACATCTAATATTAAAGCACCAACTGTACTAACAGCCCAAATAATGACCTAATTATACAGAATTTGAGAAGTATAGGTACCATTCAGAACAAGAAAAGAAGAAGAAGAAGAAGTATACGTACCATCATAGCCAATTGGCATCCCAATTCTAATGAGGGTAAATGATCCACCACAGGCCAACAAATCACAGTATGATTTGCATCCATTAATACACTTTGAATCTCAAGGTTGATGGACAGCCTTTTGTCATCCCAGCTCCCCAATTAGCAAGCATGGTTGCCCCACATTTCTCTCCCGTATTGCCTTTCGAAGAAGAAAACTTTGGATCTCTCAGGAGAAGAAACATTCACAGCAGTTGAGTTAGTATTAGAGCAGTCCTCACCACCACGAGCAAGAGTGAAGGTAAGAACATAGTCCATATAATTCCTATTAGCTCTAAATGTTTGATTGATCTTGCTACCTTGCCCCAGCTGCACGCCATGGCCAATATTTCCTGGTAATGAGACATTGTGACCAGCGGTTACGTACCAAACCACGCCGTTGAATGACCAACCGGGGAAGGTGTTGGTTTCGGCGGAGAGCAAGAGTGGGGTGGTTTTGTTTGCTGTTATATTGGTTGGAGGAGATTCAAAGCCCGGATTTTGAAGTGTATCTGTCAAAGCTTTGTGTTAGTAATTAAGTACATGAAAATTAAGAGTAAAATTATAACTAAATAAGGGTTAGTTATATAATTAAAAGAAGAGTTGTGATTAAATGTTATAATCGATATTAACAACCCTTTTTGGCTGAGAATTTATGTCATTGACTTGTACCTTCATCCTCATTCTATTGTTTTTGATATGGTGATGAAAATTAATTATTCGATATCAGAATCTTACCAGAAAATTAGAAAAGAATTAGTTGAAATGTACCCGCTGATGACATTGACATTATCATGAAGAGGAATGAGAGAAGCAGCATTGCAAGAGCCATGGGGAGAAGGGGTGGGGCGTAGGGGGAATAGACAGACAGGAGATGGGGGATCTACTGACTTTTTTAGATGAGCAGACGGTTGACATTGGATAGGATGAGAGCATTCGTTTTAAAGGCATAGGAATTGTAGCGAAATACCCTAATGTATTATAATTCTACTAATTGGATTAATATACATAACCACAAGGTATTATATAATTGTCAACTAGATAAATATGATTATGGAGTTTGACTCTACAAAATGGTCAAAGAATGGAAGTTTAAAGGCAAGGTTATTAATCCCTTGAAGTGGATTAACTTGTCTAAGAAATCGACACCGTTTCGAGTTTTATATATCAAAAATACCTAAATTTTTAAAAATTAAAATCTATAAATCAAAATAGCTCACTCTACAATTCTGAGGAATTAATAACTCGTTACATAATCAATTCCATTGCCACACACAACGCAAGCAATCACAAATTTGCAGAGAGAAGAGTCAAAAGAGTAGTGTTGGAAAGAAGATAAAATTGGAGCAACCATGTATCAAATAACGAGGCTATGGATTTGGTCACCTTAGAGGGGGAAGAGCTTGTACATTTATAAAGTCATCTAAATTTGTATGAAGGGATTGATACAATTTAATAATCTATGTTCACAGAAAAAATATTGAATGTAACAATTACATTACGTACGTGTTATATGGTGTAACCATCCACTAATACATAAACAAGTCAGGGAGTCCCACAAAAAATCATAACCACCCAATCATGTAATGCATAACCATTTTCATGATAGGAAATGAGCCTCATTTTATCTATTTTGTAATTTTTTTTAGATGGTTAAACCACATTAATATTACTGACATGGTGTAACCGTTAATAACAACAATTTTGAGGTTGACAACGTTAATAACGACAGTTTTTAGGTTGACAACGTTAACGACTACGGTTATAAGAAGGCATGCCTTTCTATCCGTAGGAAATCATCAATCAGAAGTTCCTTCTCCAGCCAAGACCCAGAGCATTTCAGAACATCCTATGAAGGACATAGAGTTTCACTTCAGAACATAAACACATCCAGCAATTGTTTTCAGAGAAGGTTGTTAGGCACCCTCCAACCGAGTGTGTATCTAATGAGCCCTAAGAATGCAAGGTGAAACTGAGTGATAAATAAGGCAAAACGAACGGTTGGTCAAATGGGTAAGAATTCGAATTTCTTCGCTCACTGCTTGAGTTCGAGTCTTCAAAACAATGACAACTCGTTAGGGGTTAGCGCCCAAAGTACACGGTAGAACCTTAACTTCAGCCCCAAGGTAGGTGCGGTGAGACTTCCTGCAAATAGTTGTGTAGTGCTAAGGAATAATGATCCTAACATATATGTGAATTAGTCTATCTGTATATCCATTTTACACACCAGAACGAAAAAAAAAAAAAAACACTGCACTTTTTCCAAGCTAAAGTGCTTTCTGTAAGACAGTTCCATGAGATTGTGTGAAACAATTCCAACAGGCATATAGAGGTTAATTGTTTCAGCACCAAAACCTTGAAGTTTGCTTGACGATGTGTTGCACTGGGTAACATGTACGAACACATGATGATCCCTTGAGTGCCTCGTTAGCTCTAAAAGAGGGATTGGCAAAGAACCATTGAAGTTTGCTAATTCATCCATTACACCACGTGGCACATTTATACACAGGATTCAAATTACTCCCAAGTCCTAAATATTAACCAAATTAAGCATCTGATCCATGGAAGTGCTGTCATGTCATACAATGTAGATACAAAATCATCGGTGATACAAGATATCAAGGTTCAATAACAATGGATCACATAGGCAGATTATACATGGTCTCTCTATACCCCCAAAACCAAAACCAAGATAGAGACAAAAGGGGAAAAAAAAAAAAAAAGAAGAAGAAGAAAAGAAACTAACTGCCTCGAGAGTAGAAAAAATGGAAGAATAAAAAGAAGCGCATCTGGAACAAGAGTTGAGGCACAACATTTTGTTAAGGTAAGTCCACAACATGGCTATCTTGATCAGTACAAAACCCAGCTAGATGCAAATTTTTGCCTCACCTGAATTGGCTGCTTCCACAGATATAAAGCACAGATCAATGAGTTTTCCACTTGAGGTGTCATCCAAGCAATCACCTCCGATGAAAACGGCTTTCTCCAGCCAAATTGATCGTGTCCTCACAGAAATTACAATCTTCACGACTTCCGTTCAAGGATGAGTAATTACATTGATAACAAACCCACCCAAGATGCTACTCTGGTTAATTGACAGAACTTCACTCTGTAAAAACCTTGTTTGAGAAAGCGGTCCTATCCAAAACCTTCTGGATGGTACTGGGGTTTGTGGCTACATCTAATAGTTATTCCCCTTCAATGGTTACTGCTATGAGTGACTGAATGTATAGAATCTTAAAGGCGTAACCCAAAAACTAGAAAGCAAACCCCGGAAACTATCTCCTTCGGCGCCACCAGTCCGGCACTTTCAACCTTAGGTTTCTATGTACAGCAAGTTTTGCTGCAGGAAGCTTGTGCTTTACCTGCCTCCATAGCATATTGACAGCATCTTCCTTTCTTGGAGGGTACTGAAATTCGTAATGATGGGAGATGTTTTTCAGCCGTCCCCACATTTTAAGCCATCTCTCTTTCGAAATTTGTCGGAGCTGTGTAACTATGTAGCCAGGCACCAATGCCTCTTTGACGGAGAAGAAAACTGAGAACTGGGTGTAGTCTATTTCATCCTCGTAAGGTAGCTCAATCTGGTCACTCACGATAACAGGAACACAGTGACTCACAATAGCATCAAACAGGCGGCAAGATGATGGAGTGTCTCCAGCAGGATGTAGGCAGAACTTTGATGTACGCATCCCATATGTGGACTGTGATAACGAGAGAAATGAGATTGAAAAGAGATTGTTCAGGATATTTGCACAAACACTACTAAAAAGTTGGCTAATAAGGGCAATCCATACACAGGAAAACCTCTCATTGTAAGAACAAAGTCCCTTCTCCACCGAAGTTTACCTCTTGTTAATACAGTTGCATTTAACATTGGGTGGACAATCATTGGTGTTTAATGCCTCCCTAATGAAATATGTCCATTTCTTGTAAGAAGGGAAATGAGACAGGAAAGGGCCCTACAAGAGAGGGGGAAAGGGTGTACACGACATTAATAAACAGCCTCAAGGACTTCCTAAGAACAACTGTATTCATTCACAACCTCAAAAGAGACCTCATGCATTTAATAGATATCTAGATTACCATCAAGCTAAATGCATCTATCTACCAACCTAAAAAAACATATTTGTGACAAAATGCATAAACAGGAATGATGATTTTCCAGTCTAAGGTCAAAAGAAAGTCACATTTTATGGAGGGTAACCATGTCAAATACTGTAAAAAAATTATCATATTGGACTTACGAAATATGTATTAAAGTAGGAATATCATACGTCCTGAAGTGATAACTGAATTGCTTACTGTTCAGATTTTCCAAGACGGATGAACACACAGTTTTTAGAAATAGGCCATCCATATTCCATACAACTCAAGAACTTACCGCTTTGATGCTTTCTTCTGTTGCAAAGCTTTGTTCATAATGGACATCCTCATAGCCAACTAGTATTTTTGCCAGTTTAGCACGAACAACTCCCTCCTGCACCATGACAGAACTCACAAATTATTTCAAGCTCCAAATAAATAAAATTCTAATCCGTTTGTTAAACAATCAAGTAACATACATCTTTCCTCACTGTCCTCCCCCGGAAGTAAAGAAGTGTACTACGAGACTCATATGGATTTGGAAGGTCATCATCCACAAACGATTCCACAACGTGTACATAGGGGGCCACAACATCTTTGCTCAGATTTGACAAGATTTTCGGGTAGCGGCCAAAATCTGCAACAATGAGAATAGATGCATTCACCTGTTCTCGCAGAAATCTGAATGCATTTGGATGGTGCATGGGAATTACATGGTCTCGTCCAGCAGAGCTCTGCCAGTAATTGGATTGCCCCAAAAGTTTAAGGAGGTCAACCTGAAATCAGAAGCAGCCATATTCAACCCTCAATAAAGCAGCATGTAAAGAAAGACTACATGCATTCTGTCATGAGTAATATCTGCTACAATTACAGGGGTATTGGCAAAAGGGCTTTGAAAAAGCAAAACAGGAGAGACTGTAATGAAGCTGAGGCCTGGAATTGGATCATATACAAAGATAGCAAATCAGATAAAAAACATAAGTTGGGGGAGCGGAAAAAAAATAAGACAGCATGAAAAAATGGAATAGAGAAGGAGTGATTTTCATCTAACGGGTGAAACTTGACATGGCCATGAACATTTCATTAGGTAAAAAATCTCATAATTGACAAATTTAATCAGGCCTCCAATGGTGAGACATCAAAGAACTCCTGAAAACCCTATCAAGTGAGCACCTCTTTGAATGATGAACTCAAAATGCTAATCCTCCCAGTTCAATACATTGGCCAAAGGAATTTATTTGACATTTGAATACATCACTGAAGCAATCCTCCTAACAGCAACACCCAACATAAATGTAATCATGAACTGGTGGGGAAAACATATACTTCAAAAGTTATTAGACGAAGGAGGAAAAAGGAAGTCTATGTAAACACCAAATTGAACCACTGAAAAGAGCTTCAGATCCCATCCTCCCACACAAACTCAAAAAACTAAATTAGCTTTTTCCAGCAATCCAATTCCTCCCAAATTATCTACATTTGCAACAATATGTAATATATTCTTAAAACTTAATCATTGTTATGAACTCATGGATAAAACTTACCCTTGAAAACCGGCTTGTAAGGGAAGGGTGCCTAAAAGTTCATATGCTGACTAATACTATAGCTAACAACTTAAATTGCACATTAATAAATTGTTGGGTGTACAAAGGATTTTCTCCAACGATCAAAAGATATAATTCTTCGACAGAGTACTTTCAAGTGACTATTTGACGTTGGGATCAACTGTTTTGTTTCAAGATTTCCTTGGATAACAATAGTTGATGAAAGGAAAGCAAGGAAGATGATAATCAAAGTATTACCAAAATGAAAGATAATTTTATTAATCTGCAAAAGGGTTGTGGTTACAACAGACTATTAAATCAAGCTTAACTACAGTACTAATTCTATCCTAAAAATTAACTTAAACATTACTCCTAAAATGCTCAAGTCATGGGGTGTTAGTGGATTTGATTGTCCCCTTCTTTTTGATTAATGTCTTTTTTTATACCCATTTATTCATCGACGGTTACACTGGTTTCATGACAATTTAACCGATGTAGAATCATAACATTTTACCACGCTTTCGTAGCTAATGTCCACAACAGCACACTCTTCTGGCTTTTAGGTCGTCCCTTTCGTATCTCGACCACAAAGAGTCGCAGATCACACTACATTTGATCCTATACTCAACGTAGTGGCTTGCTTTGATACTAATTGTTATGAGTCTATAGGTAAAATTTGCCCCTGAAAACTGACTTGCAAGAGAAGGGTATTCAAGAGTTCATATATATACATCTAGTCTTATTTTTAAACAATGCAAGATTGAAAAATTCCAGTAGTACGACGGTCCACTCTATTGATACTGATCCAACGATAACCCTTTTCCTTTGGCTGCTCCACTTACCTATCAGTATTCAATGAGATAACACTATATCCATACATAATGTACCAAGTCATCTTAATTCAGTGAATAGACCGCCTCTTCAGTGACTCAACCATAGAGAGCCGCTGCCACACTGCATTCGATCCCATACTCTGGTGGATAGCTCTGATACCAATAATTATGAACCCAATTGGTTTGCATGGGACTGATGCTCAAGAGTTCATATCCATACATCTAATCTTATTTTTAAACGTAGAATCATACAATAATCAATCATATAACTTCCATTCCACAAGCTTCATCGATCCAAATTTAAGAAGTTCGGTTTTAGCCCCTCACGAAATTTCGCAACAAGTCGACTCCGCCAAGGTACACCAATTTTCCACCAACCGCCGTTCGAAAAAATAAAAAAAAAAATTACTTGAAACCATGGCAAATATTCCATTTCTCATCATTTCCTCCACTTCTGAAAACCAGATCAAAGATTCCACTTGCTCATCATTTCATCACCTATCTCCCACAAACAAACAATATTCACAAAGCCTGATCTTAAAACATTGCTTAAAGTAAGATCCTCAACCAAGTGAATAAGAATTCACAACGCCTAAAGCAAACAACTTCAAATAATTACTTAAAAGCAACGTGTAATTATCAGTCAAACTCACAAAGCAACGAAAATAGATTTGAAAATACACGACAACAATTAAAAAGAACTGATCAATAATATTACAATTAAACGAAGAAAATATGATAATCCACTAGCGTACCTGCAATTGCCGGTCAATCTCCGTAGCCGGATCCGTCATAGTATGGCCATGAGTATTAAAACTCAAAGATGAAAAGAAAGGAACAAAAAACACATCAGCCGAATCCGGATCCAAAACCCTAATAGCCTCTCTGGTCTGGCCATCCCCACCCTCACCGTCCCACAATAGCGAGGCCATCATCCAGTACTCGACACTGTGCTGCTTCTTTAAACCAGAACTCAAGGGCCAAGGCGGCAAAGTGCGAGCACTCACCGGAGTCTCGTCCGAGCTCCGACGATTCAACATGCCAACATTAAACCTTCTCGGTAGATCGTACATGTACACCTTGAGGGGTGGCGATCCAGTGCGGCACAGCGTACCGTTCTGCACCACCGACTCTGATACTGGGAGGAAGAGTGATCTATAATCATGTGTGTCTTTGAATTTAAAATATGTACCCAAAAGAATGATGAAGAGCAAGAGAGCCACCACAGTTTTGGTTTTACCAACTATATTCTTCATTGTTCTTTCATTCTCTCTCTAAATTTTGGGATCTCTTTAGGTAGTATACTTGTGAGTGGGTGGAGGGAGAGAGAGAGACAAACCGTGAAGGGAATTAGCATGAGCGGCCAAGGATATTTAGAGGTCCGAAGCGTATGTGATGTGTTATTTTTAATATTAAAATTTTATTTAAAATTAATTAATTTAAAAAAGAATTAGAGAGGAGGAAAGTGAAAAGGGCCAAAGATTGGGACCGGATTATGTGCCGTTGGATTTTATCTACACTCCGCTTTATTCAGCAGACTGTGCGATGTAATTAGGGGAGGTCTCGGATACAGAGGATATTTTCTCACCGCAGTTCATGGATGTGCTTGATCAGTTATTTACTAAATTACAATTCTTTAAACAAATATAACAAAATATTATACTTTTAAACTAATTTATTAAATTACTAGTTATTCTCCGTGTCTGAATGCATGAAATAATAAAAAATATAGTACAATAAATAAATTTATATTCATACTCAAAATCAAATCACAAATATTGAAAAGAGATAAATGAATTTAAGCACCGATTGTAGTAGGGGTGAGTGGTGGTAGTGGTGATAGGCGACAATGGTAGTGGTAGAAAATGGTGATAGTTGTGATGGATAGCAACGTCCGTGGTGATAATGGTAGTTGTGGGTGGCAATAGTGATGGTGGTGGTGAATTTTGAGTGACGATGGTAGTGACAGTTATGGGTGATAGTACTGGTATGGGTAGAGGTGGGTGACGATGATCATGGTTGTCGATGGTTGTGGTGATTAGACGATGGTGGTGGTGGCAATTGTGGATTGTGATAGTGGGCGATAACGATAATAGTGATAGGTGACGATGTGTTTTTTTGAGCGATAATGTGATGGGTGGTGGTGAATGACAATGGTGGTGGTGGTAAGTAGGTGTGGAGGGTGACAGTGGGTGATAGTAGTGGTAGGTACTGACGGCTGAGGGTGGTAGGTGTGGTGGGGATGAGTGGTTGATGACAATAATAGACGATGACAGATGATGATGGGTGTAGGTGATAGTGGCTGTGATAGTGGTGGGCGATGATAGATGGTGATGGTAGGTGCGGTGGGGATGAGTGACAGTGGTTGGTGGCGATGGTGGGCAACGACGCGTGGTGGTGGGTTGTGGTGGGCAATAATGGTGGTGGTGTGTTCTGACGGTGGGCGATGATGGTAGTGGGGTGATGCTGGTAGTGGTAATAAATATAAGAATGAGATGACGATAGTAGTGGCGGTGGACGACGGTGGTAGGAATCAGTGGTGAGTGATGATAGTGATGGTGGCTATAGGATAGTAAAGGTGGGGTGGCGACAACGATGACGGTGGTAGTGGTAATGGGGTGGTGGGAGTGGGGGTGGGGGTGGTAGTGGTGATGATAATGGTAGAGATTGTGGTGGTGATAGGGTCGTGATAGTAATGGTGGCGGCAGTGATGGTGGTGGTGATTTTTGTGATGATAGTGATGGTAATGGTGGGGGTGGATATGGGGTGACGATGACGACAGTAGTGGTGGTGGTGGTGTGGCGCGACGGTGGTGGTAGTGGTGGAGCGGTGAGGGGTGGTTGTGGGGCGGCGGTGGTGGGCAGTGAGGGGTGGTGATGGTGGTGGGGGTGGTGTTACTAGTGGTGATTGTGAGACGGTTCTAAACATTATTTTTTTAAGGCACTTGTGAGAAGTTATAAATTTTAGAAACACTTTTAAAAAGTCATTCCAAACGTACCTTTAAGGGTCCGTTTGTTTAGCGGGAGAATGGTAGAAAATACAAGAAAGAGAAATTTTTTAGAATTTTAATGTGTTTGGTTAGCATGAAAAGGAAAATGATAGAAAAAATAATTTTCTTTCGTGCTTGAATTTTCTCACAAATAACCAACTTTTTTTTCTTGTAAAAAACATAAGAAAATGCAAGAAAGTTGTGGTCTATAACTAACTTTCCATTTTACTCTTATTTTTCTTAAAATATTTTATTTATTATTAATTTTAAAAATTTTTTGTATTAATTTGATTAATCATATAATTTGGTCCAAAGGTCTTTGTGTTTGTGATTATCTTAGAATTATGTTTCGAGCCATTTTTTTTTTAAAAAAATTAACGTTTAATTGTAATTACATATTTTTTTTTAGATCAATTTAATATAATTAAGGATAATTTAGACAATTATAAAAAATTTCATATAACTTTACATTCTTTCAAACAATAAAATAAATTTTTTATCTTTTTCCTGTAAATTTTTCATTATAACCAAATACTTGCATGAAAATATATTTTTTATCATTTTCTTTTCTTTCACTTCACTGTCTATCATTTTTACTTTCTATCATTTTTTTCTTCCTAACCAAACGGACCCTAAGAGTCTATTTTTCCTATTAAATTTGGAGTATTAATATCAGCCATCAGATTAATTTTAAAATAAAATTTTAAAAAATCTCAACCGCAAAAAATAAAAGTTATTTTGTTTATCTTTTAAAATTTGAATTATATTATAATTTATTATATAGAAGATATTTTTTAAAAATGGAGTTAATAGCTCCACTTTTATTAAAAAATGGAGTGAATAACACAACTTTTTTTTTTAAAAAGGTGGTCAATAAGAGAGAAAAAGATGAAAAATATATTTAGTAAGCACACTTTTCAAAAAAACTTTAAAAAGCATCACATAAAAATACAATGTTATGACAACGTGTAAAAACAACAACAAAGTCGCGACAGCCTCCTATGTTGCTACGGTGTAGGAGCACTATTATATGAGAAATAATGGGAATACTTGTCGTGGTTTACCAAAGTTTCATATATTAATTAGAGATAAATTCAAACTTTGCGTTTGTTTTGTGATCTATTCTTTTGAATTTAGTTCATTTAAAGATTTGCTTATAATAATTCGATTTCACATTAAAATTTTGTTGAAGTTTTTTTGCCTTTATATATTCCAATAGTGAATTTATTTATCACTTATCCATCTCTATAGGGATTATATGGACCGATGATGGATGAAATGCTACCTGTGGTTGTTGTCTTTGATTTTTCTTTCTAGGTCTTTGTTGTCAATTCTTTCAATTTTGTTATTAATGATTGTCTTTCTGCATCCATCTCTACGCTCCATATGGTTTAAGATATGATTTAATGATATTATTTACATTTGGATGAAGGCTAGTATACTGATTATTCCCCATATGGTTCCAGGTTGCCTATTGCCATCAAACAGTATTTTGCCAGCACATTTTCTCTTCTCCTACTTGATATCTCAAGTTTATCTTACTATTTCGTCTCATAAAGAGAGGAGAAATTGATTTATTAAGACCAAAGTTATCATAGGTTTATCTATTTCAGCTTATATATATTGAGCTGTTGATGCTTACTCTACTTTATTTTCTTCCTTTCAGATATGTGAAAACAGATAGATCTATACATAGTTGAACTGTCAGATGTTTTATACAGTTTATGAGATGTTCGAAAAACATGAAAATGAAATAAATGTAACTCTAATATGAGTGGTTTGTACCTAAGTGACTAGACATGTAACTCTAATAAATGTATCATATTTGTGTTTATGTTAAATATTTTAGTTTGTCTGTGTGGGTTAGTCTACTACATTATGCTAGATCACGTTAACACTTTTAAATGCTTCCGCGGGATATAGTAACACATTGCATGTCCGCGCGAAATCAGGGTGTGACATCCAACTTGTAATTACACACATACATTCGAAGTCAATCTATTTTTTTTTTGCCTTTTCTTATCCTAATTGAATCCCTCTGACAAGTCCTCTTGTTATGATCATACACTATGTAGTTTACAAATCGAACGTGACAAGATCTTTTATACTGGGTGGATGGGGCTAGTTCATCTACATCGCTTCTTCTATTTTTCTTTTTCCTTCCTGGCAGTCTTCTTAGTTGTGGAGGAAGAAATTGAGATGGGAAGTTGCCATCTAACTAGGTCCATAACTTGACACCAGTAATGGGTTAAATCATTTCACTCTAAGCCTTGAGATATGTATCCTTATAGTAACACGGATCACAAAAATCTTTAAGGTTTTGCCTCCTATAAGCAATGCCTACAGTAGCATGCTTACAAGGTATGCCATTAATTTCCCACACCCTATATTCACAACTCCTCTTACCAATATCAACTACATAATTAAAAGATCCATTTGTGATATGAAATTCTTCATGACCGACAAGTAATAGGGTACATTTTCTTGATTTGTGTTACGTTAGGATTTGCCCTCAACACATTGACTTGTTTTTTAGCATCCCATGGAGCATTTGCTTCCTTGGGTTTGGAATTCCTAACATAGCTATGAACACCACTATATGTACCTCATTCGTATCTCTGACCAATGGGAATCCCTCCTGAATCACATACTCCCTCAAAGCATCTCTAAATTTGTTGATGTTTGAAAATAGCATTCCGGCCAAAAGTAAGGAGTTAAGTCCACTTTTTTTTTAATCTAAAAAATATCATTAACATCGTTAGTTTAGTCAGTTATGAAAAGTTGAAGACATTATCGACAAGGAACTATATATAGAGATCAATGATTGAATATAGGAATGATTGATTTATAATGGTAATTGTGATTAGCACAAAACATTGCATATTTTATGTACAATTATATCCCTTTTACACTTGCTTTTGTGGTTAAAATGAGCGGAACTGCACTGTTGAGATATTAACGGAGTTTTGATATGTTTGCAGATAAAAAGGGGTTAAATGATGCTAGTTAAGCCCTCTCGTGGTGCCCAAGATGGATGGAGTTGAAAATGAGGCTTGAGGAGAGCTCAGGTGGTGAAGGAAACAAGAAATCAGCAAAACAAGGGAAAACCTACTGGTAGGCCATACCAGTAGGTTTTGGCTACTGTCCTGTATTTACCGCAAACCTACCGATAGGTTTTGACTACTGGACCTGCATCTACCGCAAATTTATCGGTATTTTTTGCCTATTAGAATAAAACCTACCGGTAGGTTTTTCGCGATCTACCAGTATGTTTTACTGAATTGCGCCAAAATCTGAATTTCAAGCTTTGCAATATTGGGGGTCCCACCATGGGGTCTCCCACTCTTCCCTAACACTACTTACATACTGGACACCCTTTTCTCAACCATGCTTGGACTTTTGGATGTTTTGACATTAATGAGGAGAGAGGAGAGAGAAGATGTCGGGTGTGCAGGCTATGCCTGCACTACCCTGTTCAACTCATCTCTTTCAGCTCCCTATTGATTGGAATCACATCACATAACTAGGGGAGGTCTCCATGGATGTTTTTGGGAAAGCTCCTCCACTGTTATTGAGCATTATGAAATATACATTGTAATATAGAGAGAAGGAGTCTAAGGAAGAAGATGAACAGTGCTAGAGAGAGAAGTTAATATTTTGGCATTTCCTTCTATACATTACCTTGTAATTTCTTGTAAGACTTGTTTAAGCTATGTTGGATGTCTTTGATGTCATTTATTGCAAATGCATTTAAAGTTTAGCCTTATATGTTGGATTTCACCATTAATGCTATTCAAGCTTCATTTTTTTAGTTTTAAAATGGGTATTGCATTTCTCTCTTCATAGTTAAGTTTTCTTGTATCAACTTAGTTCAAATCCTCATTTCTTCACAATATATTTTCATTACATTGTTGTCTTTACTTTAAGCATGAGTAGCTAAACCTTTACGGCTAATCTAAGAGAGACCTCCTCTTGGGTATGCCATTTCAACTCATTTTCTTTCCCCCTCGCAGTGTATGTTGGTTCGGTTTGACTAGGTTGAGTGTAGATGTGGTTGTGAGTTCTTGATACACCGTAGACATTGTCACGGGGTATGCTTGAATCCTCACCTCCATCCTAGTCTCGCACTTCCCATTAATCAATCAAATATCTAGACATCATTGGGGGAAGGTCTTGAATTGAGTTGACATTCCCATTGGAACGAACCCTTCGGATTAGTCACCACTTGTTTACCATTTCATTTTCATCACAACACAATGACAAACCAAACTTTAAACAACAAAAGAATTTTACACTTTGTTTTTTTGCCAAAATCACCTTTAACACGAATCACCTTCTTCTCTGAGGAGACGACCTTACAATACTTTTCCAAATAAAATACGACATTCAAAAGACTTCTTGCGCTTGGGGAGCACTTTTATGCGCACACACACATTTCATTCATTCCACCATACATCCATTTCCCCTTTGCTTGCATTGAATCCGAGTTAGAGTGACACTCACCCACTTACATACACCATATACACATTGAGGGTTCTTGTGCGGAGAATTGGGAATACAACAGAATATACCAAGCAAATTGTCGATTACAAACTTTCTATAATACTTTAAATTCAAATTCTTAGTAATTATTTTGTCTGTTATACATTTAAATAATTGGCTTTCGAGATTTGAGACTAATTTGAAATGGATGAAGATTAAAGTTGGAGAACGAGTTCGAGATTTTGAAAAAAGTAACATGGGTAGTGCACACTAAGTACTTGATGTTAGCATAGTAACATTAGTTCAGTAATATCAATTTCAAAAAGTAATTTACTAACACATATCAATATTTTTTTTTCATGTTATTATTTTTTATTGAGCATGTTATTACTTTTTTGAATGCTGAAGAATTAGAGATTTTTTCATCTGGTTATGAGTTTGAATGCTACTATTTATATTTTTAATTTTTTTCAATATTCTATATTACTATTTTTTTTATTGAATATGTTACTAGTTTTATTAAACGTGTTACTATTTTTGTTGAACATGTTACTATTTATATTTTTAAAAAATATTAATATTAAATGTTACTATTTTTCTATGTTTAAATGTTACTATTTTTTTGTGTTTAAATGATATTTTTTTTTGTATTTAAATGTTACTATTTATTTTTAATGTTATTATGTATATAAAAAATATAATCCTAACCTATATATGAATATTGATAAATATGAAAGAAATTTTTTTAATGTTAATCAAACTCTAAAAATTTAAGAATTTTTAGAGTTTTAGTTTTACTTCACTTCTAAAAAGAAGGATAATCTGATAAAATTGACAAAAAATACTTCATAACAAATAAATTTTCTTGACAGACTTAAATCCAAATAAGTTAATATAAGGGCCGAATACCAGCCCAGGAATCCTCAAACTGGGTGTTGAGGTGTGTCGAACCTTTGCAAAGTTGGGCCTGGGCCACAAAATCATAGACTTTGAGGCTTCCCAAAGCCCAAAGGTAGAGACCCGAGTTCTAAATAAAGGCCCGAAATTTTGAAAATCCCAGTAGGGAAATTAATTGGGTAATTTTGGTCTATGTACAAATTCGATAGGTGGGCCTGAATATTGACCCAGAATTCAGGCAATCAGAGGTGGGCTTGGGCTTATTCTGGAAAATCTGATATCGGATTCTAGTTGATGGGTTGGCTTGCTCAAGTAACACAATTCCCTTCATATGGAAATTCAAATTAAACGAAAAACCAGCAAGTGGCAACTTTACTTTATAAACATGAACTCAAGCACCCCAATTATTACGAAGTTACAACTCACCCTCATTGATACCTTACTGTGTTCTTCCGCCTTCAAATTAAAATCATACATTACTAATCATAAACACTACCCTATCATTTTTCTTTCCTTATTTTGTATTTTTGGGGTTTTTTTTTTCCAACGGGTGGGAGCGTGGGGGGGTTAGGGATGTTACAGACATCAGTGGGCAAATCTTTAACATTCACTATAAGCTTCTGCCATAATCAATAGAACAAGTGATGTCCAACCAGTAAACAGGCGTGCACCTTTCCCTTTCCCCTTCTTCTGATCATACTGTTCCCACAAATAACCAGTCTGATGATAGTTCCGAACCACATTTCTGCGCAATAGGAATTCACAGAAACTACTATGAGCACGCTGTCCACGTGAAAAATTCAGAGGCTTAATATGAAGGCATTATCTACATAGCAACAACGAAATGTACCTAATCAAATTGCTCCTCAAGTCATTGTAGATGGCCTCGGCTCTTTCTCTGTATGGTCCATCCTCTACAGTAATCAAAGATAAAAAAGGAACATCAAACGTAAAATCAAGTATGGAGTTTTATGGAAAATAATTTCATTTGTTTCTTGATGTGCACACCTTTGGAATAATGGTGGAGAGAGGAAAGAATCAGGTAATTCATGTTCATCCATATTGGACCTCTCCAATAAGGTGGATCATGCTCAGTGTTGCGTTTCATGTACAATGAGCTGAGGCATCAAAAGATGACACATGCTATTTTTATTCCTCATCAAATGCAAAAATTTATGACTTAAGAGCAAAGGAAACAAACATGATAAATGCATTTGAGCTGTTTGTATAACCTTGTTTTGGCAAGAGACCGGAGTCCAAAGTCGGTCCACAACAGACTCCTATTTGCAATGAGTTCGAGCTGTTTTTCTAGGATCCATGAATCCTGCATGTGATTAACAGGTACGAGCAGTTAGACATGACTAGATGAAAATAACTTCCAAAAGTAATCAGGGAGGAGGAAGAAAAGGGGAAACTATCCTCATATGAGGATGCATTATATAGCTAACAAGCACAAACAGAAATGACCCAGAAACATTGTCAATGAGAGAATCCTTCATGCAACTTACAGGTGGTATAACCCTACCCATAAAAGGGAAAAGGCTGACATAGCCAATGTGGGGAACCAGTCTCAGCACTGGATCCTCCAACGCTTCTCGAACCAGCTCTCGACTTGGGTAATTTCCACCTGTCTGCACTGCTTGCCAACTTAAACGAACCTAAAAGAATGAGAGAAGTGTTAGAAATAGCCAGTAATGAGCAATATGTTTTTTGAGTACAGTAAAGGGACAAGAAATTATGCAGGAGTCAGCATGTAATTGTTGTAAAATAGAAGTCACTGATTGCAGATTCTCGAATGGTTCCTTAATTCCATTCCACCTCTAAATGCACATCCCCGTGTACCATCTTCCACTCAACAATCTCATCCATATGCAGCTATTGAACTCTCTTGGTGAGCTCATATTGCCTTTGCTTGAAATGCATAAACAATAATGGCATTATCATCTTTCTCCTCACACACACTTGTAATTTCTAATGGGGTACCAACAAAATTCAACAAGATCATACAACTAAATAGTTTCCATGTTAGACCTGATTCTGAAGACTTGATGCATGCATAGACATCAGTTTTGCTCAAATTCTTTAAGCAATCTACATTATAATATTCGTATCTAGACAAAAGATCTGTCATTTTACACAAATAGAAACACTATTATATGGAAAAAGATAGATGGCAAGAAGATTGTACAGTTGACGGGAAAAAGAGTTTCCGTCATAAACCTGGATGATGACTACAAGTTAATGCCAGAATGAGGAATAGAAAAGCACAAACGGCATACCTTCTCTGTATGGTTTCCAAAATCAAAATAAGCGCCATAGACATTATCAAAGTGCATCTGAAAAAACAATGACCACATCTGATACATAAGATATTAAAGTACAACAGGAGTTACCCAACTCCTTAGTGTTTATCTAGAATAATATAATAATACTTTCCCATCCCTATGGAAGTTTTATCCCAAATAAACAATACTACCACAGTTGTGGAACCACAAAAAGTGTTTGTATCATTACATATTCCCAACTCTTTTCAAGGATCAAAAGAAGGTTATGAGCAATAGGATCTGAACGACTCTCGTAATTTACAACTCAAGACAAACCTGATTTAGAAGTTCAAAATCTGAGAGAAGCTTTGCTGTCAAGCTGTACTCCTGCATCAATTAACTATAAAACATTGATAGCTTGATGGACAAACTCAAAAGCACCAATATATTTCAAAATTACTATACCCTCCCAAGTTCCCTTCCGTTCTCAAGAAGCTCTGAAATTGAATGCATACAATCTGCTGCAAGAAGCATCCAGCATCTAAGATCTATGTGGCGTTCTTCTTCACTTGGGTGTGACGCACGAGGATAATCATCCAACCCAGAAGATAGTGTCTGGAGATGCCAGAAACAATACACTTATTGATGAATTTGACAGATGAAATCCTTTTCAATCAGACATAACATTGATAATGAAAAGAACAGCATAAAGATCCACATCAAAATGGAATTTTCAATCAGATATAACATTGATAGCGACAAGAACAGAAAAAAGATCCAGGTTTCGTATTTGGCTGAAGTCAACTGTGGCCTATGGTTGGTTCGTAGATCACCAAATCAAATACAATTAATTTATCAAGTAACCAGGACTAACTTATCTCCACTGAGGAGTTTAGGTTCTGTCAGTATCACAATACCGAAAATAGAAGTCTTACTCTTTCATCCTACATTTGTCCTCTCTATCAGACATGCTTTATCATGTGACTAACTTTTTTTTAATCATCCTCTGAAAAAATTACAGTTTTCAAGCTACCAAACTGATGATAATAGCTTGAAAATTAATTGACTTTTAAAATAATTGATAAAACCAAAAACCCCAAGTAGATAAATTTCTGTTCAGTTGAGACTTGCATTGCAATTCAACACAAATATGCAGAACCAAACCCACAACCCCAAAGCAAGTATACCATTCACCCATGAACACACCTTGAAGATTATTGAAAAAAGTATACCCTGATGGTCAAATTGAATTCAGAAGAAAGGCTCCATTCAACACAATTTCAACTGCCAATTGGTCCTGGCTGGTGGTCTAACGAGTTGGAGAATCAATTTTTTTTTAAAGAAGTGTCCATTATAACGAGTACACTCCACATATACAACCCCAAAAGTTTTCCCAAACAAAAGAAACAGTTTAAACATTAGCAGTGATACCACACACAATGCCAAAAATTAAATTATAGTTTCACATTGTGTAGTGGAAACAAAATATTTAAAAGAACATAAGTAGATGGAAAGCAAGATAGTAGAATGTTTTGAAGCACAACCTTTGGATTTAGTTCTCGGTTGGTTGCATTGTCCCTTCCATGCCAAAAATAGCTGCTCTTATCTTGTCCTGCAAATAAACACTTGAGTTTGTAATGATAGTCCTAGCATAAGGCCAGACAATACCTTATAAAGCCTCAAGACTGAGTAACTAATTGCTTGAGTTGGCTACATCAGAACCTTTTTGTCATTCTAACCAAAATTTTGAGATTAAAGACAGTCTCCTTGTGACAAAATATTGCACAAGCTGTCTAAATGACATTAAAAGTGGACATGTTTCTAAAAGCTCCAAGAAGGGTGGAGATGAAGAGACTGAGCCAAGCATTAAGACATTGAGATATCTCTAATAACACATGATTTTACTGATCTCTTGACTCTGAAAAATTCAATAGCACATTGAGGTATCTTTTCCCCCTTGATAAGCATTAGAACATTACTTTTTGTTGGACAGCAACTATTGAATTGTAATTTTCAAGTTCTAGTTTTTGTGCGTTTCTTTTGGATTTTGTATGCCTTTTTCTGGTTGGACAACGTGTCCAACTTTGTTTTGTTTTTTGTAATCCTTTACCGTTGATTATCAATAAAATTGTTGTTTCTTATCGAAAAAGAGATAAGATGGACATTGAGATTCCTACAGATGCACCATAGAGATAAAAGATATGTTTGAAACAAAAAACTGATACATCTGAGGAAACAGTCATAACAAATAACATCAATGGTTAATTTTTTATATTATTAGTACTAACCTATTTTTAGTATAAGAACTATAACTATACCCTTGTTATTTATTTTGATGCGGGAAGTAAGAACCTAACTTTATCAACACGAAGTGGATGTCTTTAGACTTGAACTGAAAATTTACTGTGACTTGAACTTCTATAAAAACTGCCTCAAACCAACTTCAAACCCTTAAATCTTAAGCAACTAGTGTGGACCAACAAAAATAAAAAAATCTAACGGTAGTTAAGACAGTCTTTAGACCTGAACTGCTTTTGTGTTTGCCAAGCTGAGTTCTCACTAGAGCAACCAGTAACAACTCTTTCTTCTATAACCGCAATGATAGAACTTGGACACACCAGAATGAGAAAGCAGGTTTTGGTTACATGCAAAGAAAGCTGGAGGTAAAGATTGTACACTTCATTTCCATCTCTCTGAGTGACCCAAATTGATGTGGCTGTGAACAAAAATTCTATGCAGCGATTCGGTAGAATGGAGAAAAATAAGTCGAAATTTACCTGACTGTGTAGTATTAAACCATTGAAACCATGCTTCAAGGCGAACAAATGCACGTTCTAGGAAGGAAGATATCTCGTTGTTTTCAGTAGCAGTAAACTTGTCCCTCTTCATGCGGCAAATTAGATCTGGAAAAAAACAAAGTCTCATGCTACCATCTGGGTCATGTTTGCCACATGATGGTTAATTGCCCTTGAATAAAATATGCATATGCAAACTTCTGAAGGAACAAATGAAATTCTACGGCATACACAATGTTGTGGAACACAACACATGACCTATAAACAGGGGCGGAGCCAGACATATTCTCCAGTGGGGGCAACCTAAACTATATTAATATTAAAATTTAAAATATTCACAAAAGTATATTTTTATTAATAGAACACTAATTAAAGATGCAATTCATATACATGAGCGATATACAAAATGAGCCAACAAAAAAAACTCATAGATTTATCTATAACACCTAACAAAAAAATTTTGAACTGCAAAATTGGGCTCAATCATATATTAAATTTTAAGAAAAATTTTCATAACTAATTCAAAAATTAATTTGTTCAATCACAAACTTAATATTCATCATTAAATTTTAACAAACAATCGAAACTAACTTAAACTATAATTATTCTAGTAAACTAAACCTAGGTATATGAAGTACTTAACTTTTCACAATAAAACTGTTCAAACTACCAAATCAAAATAATTTAGTCTAATTATAATGGAGGACTACAAGTCCTAATTCCAATTCAACATATAAAAATAAAATACTAGAGAGGACTACAAACCCAAATATCAATTAAATATATAAAAAAATAAATCATAGAAGAGGACTACAAGCCCCAATTTTATTTCAACATAGAAAAATAAATACAAGACTACAAATCCTAGTATCAATTCAATACATAAAAAATAAAACATAAGAGATGATTACAAGCCCCAATTTATATTTTTAATTCAACATGCAGCAAATAAAATACAATAGAAAGCTACAAGCACTAATTTCAATTCAACATTTAAAAAATAAACCACAAAAGAGGACGACAAATCCTAATTTTCAATTCTAACATATAAACATAAAATAAAAAAGAGGATTACATGCCCTAAATTTAGTTTGATGTATAAACATAAAACAAATGAGAGGGCTAACCTATTTCGTAACATATTAGTTAATCTTTAAATGTCCAAATTTTTGATATCATCTTCCATTGATATTTACAAGTGAGACTCATATATTTGTCAAATTAACATAACTACCCTTAAATCTTTTAAAAAAAATTTAGTGGGGGCAAATATCTAATAAATTCTAAATTTTTTAAAATTACACTTAGTCTCCAAAATTTTTTAAAATTCCAGTGGGGGCAGCTGCCCCCACTGTGGATCCGCCCCTGCCTATAAACATGTTAACAATGATCATTAAGTATTATTCAAGTGCAAGAAACTTATAGGGGTGTTGATCAGTTGGTGCTTGAAAATTAAGGGGAGATCTTTCCAAAACATACTGTGTCAAGAAATGAGAAGTTACAGATCACAAATGGATGGATTGTTGTAGGTGAGGGACATGTGGTGTAGCCTTTAGGGGGAGTGTTTCAAAGTAGGGCTTAGAAGGAGAGAGAAACAAAAACCTCGTCAATGTACCTGCCGTAAAATCATAATAATGACATTATAATGCTCCTCACAGCATGAGAGAGACATATATATATATATATGAGAGAGAGAGAGAGTAGGAGTTGCTGCATGCCTCCCACTGGTTAAGGGATTAAATTTCAGACTGCAACTATTTAGACAAAAATGACTTTGATGCACTTACTTTAGATTACAGTCCAAAGTATAGAACTACACCAGGCAGGGGCATAAAAATAAGTACACACACACACACACACACACACGCATAGATGTACAATTGCTGCATTGCTGTTTCAAAGAGAGATTTTAACTCCATGATTTGTTATGCATGAGACACCATCTATTAAGCCGGAGGCCATCTCACTTTCTTTCTCTCTCTCTGTCTTCCCCCCCTCCCCCCCTCTAGTTTTCCACCACTTTTTCTTGTTCCATTCTTTAACATCCTTTTTTCTCTAAAGGTTGTCCTGCATCACCAAAAGTACCTAACACCTGTTTTTTTCTTTTATTTTTTTTGGCAAGAATCCCTCTGAACAATAGATTGCAACAATAATATACCATCAGCTTAGTGGGGTAATTTTTGTCCTTAATATGAGAGGATGTAAAATGCTAAAGTGAGCTGCATAAGAAAAGTTGCCCAACAATAAGTGCAGAATCCTTCAAGGGAGGAAAACTTTACCACGTAAAGCCAAAAATAAAGTCGGTGGATTTCCATTAGTTGGATGCTGAAGAACAAATTCTGCTGGGACCTTACTGCAGATATTCCAGAAGATATGCGCCAAGTTCATTCACTGGCAGGATATTAACAAAACCCAGGAACTACAAGTGCTAGAAAAAGATATCCCAAATCACCTTAGAGCTTCAGTGCCTAAAATTTGCTCACGTGGAATCCATCCATCGATGTTCATCAGATCTAACCAATGTCCAATGATGTCCAAGCAAATAGGGATATCCCAATGCCTATTAAATGTTAAGAAGAAACATATACAAAAAAGACGGTGCATGAACACATGATTAGTCAGGCTGTTCGGATTAGCAATTATGTCTATATTGTGCAAGAAATTACATAGTGCTTTCCTCAATGAAGCAAGCAGCCAAAAAATTAATATTCAGCCATACATAAACAAAACAAAGACTAGAAAATAACAAGTGACAGACCAGATTAGTAGTTGATGAAAACCTTCATCCCATAAAAATCCCCTAGGGAAAAATGGTCGACTTGGAACTGCTGTATATAGCTCAGCTGGCCAATATGATATATAACTATCGGCAGGTTTAAGCTGCAAGCATAATAGCCCACCGTATGACTTTGTCAGACATCAAAAATAACGCAGAACAACAGTGTTGTCAGTTAAAATCGAAAAATGCCAACCAGTCAGATAAAAGAACAAAGACAACATGTGGTTTAAGTCTTAAAAGGTCAATAGATGCAAAAGTAACCATAATAAGTCAATGTGAAAGCTTAAGAAAGTCGCATAAACATGATATATGATCTAAAATATTTGCTTTACAAATGACTAACTTTTTTCCTCTGCAAAGGATCTTCTGATCTCTTTATTTTCTCTAATACTTTTTAACTTTGCAAAAATTTAAGCCCTGAAAGCAAACTCTGAATGCAGAAGCAAGTGGCATCAAATGAGCTAATTGCACAACAAACTCCGTCTTGTTACTCTTAAGTAAAAATACCAGACTTGTTAAGTCATGCAGCCTTAAGAAACTTAAAATAGAGCTGCCTACAGTTAGTTGGTCATGGGTATTTGGTAACTGAAAGCCTTCAGAGTTACAATTTTATGGGTAGAAGAAAGGTAGTAGGAATTTTGCATGGAACAGTGTTAGACTTGGCTTGATTGGAAAGGTATAGCCCCCCAAAAAATAAGAAGAAAATGTGCTGGAATTATTTTGACAAGTATTCTCACATTTTTCTATTTAGTTTACAGGCCAAACAATAGGAGAATCGCTTACGTTGATTTGGGTATGCTAGATACGTTTAGGGATAAAACTAGAGGTCATCTGCAAAGCTGTGAATAGCAACTTGTAAATCGTAATCACTTAGGGAAGAATCACACTTCACCTTCCCAAATGTGAAAATAATACTTTATAATACCAGCCAATGAAGTTAGTAAGATACACAAAACTTTCAATTCAGACTCAACCTCATTTATCAGCCTCAATTTTGTAGTGCTTTAGTACATCAAACACATTATGAAAATACATTGAAGGAAAAACTCAAACAACCATCATTTAGCAGAGTGCAACAGAACTAAGGCCCATCTAAAACAAACGCTTACTATTTTAGCAAACACTATGTATAAGAATTCCACCAAGTTTTTGGACATTTTGAAGAAACTACAGAATTAACCAAGCAAGAAATAATGCACAGGTTACTCAAAACATGAAGTGGTCCTTCAAAAATGCAGGGAAAGTTTTCAAGTTATATTTGAACAATTTAGACTCCGAAGAAATTTAACAGGATATATTAACTAAATATGATTGAAAACATATGGTAACAAATATGCAGCCTCAAGAGAAATCTGCATTATATAAACAGAAAAAATGAATTTAAGTAACTTACATTAGAGGTTTTTGGAAGAGAAATTTTTGATTGGCCATAGAAGTAGCCAATTGCACCCAACATATTTCCTACAGAAGCCTTACCAACTGCCACTGATTCAGCATCAAGCTGAAAAAACATCATCAGACTATCAGAACTTTTTCATCTTATGCAGGATAAAATTGTATATGCACTGAAGTAATTGCAAGGACGAGTGGCTTATTGCCATCTGTGTTGTTTCAAAATTGTGTTTAGACTAAACATAGGGACGGTAACCATAAAGCTCCCTCAACACCTGAAATGAACTGTTGGCAATACTTGCTTTCCAGATTTGTAGTTCAAAAGTGATGCAGTAGAATATTCTGTAAGGAAATTTTGTTGAAGCCATATCTTATGGCAAGCAGGTGCAATCACCATGGAAACTGCAAACTGAACCTTATTGGTAGCAAGAAATATAAAAATCAGAATATGCCTAATGATAAGCATATCCTTTAAGTACATTTGTTCCTTCAGCCCTACAACCTGAACTCTAGGATCATTTGAAAGAACAGATGCAACCAACAACAAGGCAATGTGATATTGCCAAGAGACAAGTATGACGTCCAACTTTGAAACTATATAAGCAGCTAAATCAGGCAACAAGATGAAGCCCATGGTTATTAAAGGATAAAAAACAGTTTTCTAAAAGCAGCTTTTTAAAAGTATCTCCTGACGAACTTCTAAAAGCATTTTTTCCAGCTTATTTAAGCTATTTGTAGCTTAAGCTAAAAGGCAAAAGCTATTACTTGCCTAAAATAAGTATGGAAAAACAGGGCCAAAGTGGAAAGAAACATGATTCTGCTTATGGATACCTTCTCAGACAGGTTAAAGCACCTTCTGAATTTGTCATCAAACTCTTTTTGCTTCTCATTTAGTTGACTTGTGAGTAAGATACCTGGAAACAATGAAGAAGATATCCAATAATGCAGATGCAAAAACATTTCTGTTTTTTGAGGCGACAAATAAAAAAAAAGCATATATTCAGGTTAAAAAAACAGAGCAGGACATATTCAGCATTCTAATGAAAATAAAAGGTTCAGATATTAAAGGATCAGTGCATATCTTAACCCTCCACAATAATGGTAGGACGAGTCGAGGGTCTTAGCTGCTGTAATATGTCAATGGATATGAGACCCCACACCACCCAATTTTCATAACATACGACTGAAGATGAGGTCCACTTGGCCAAATTCAGCTTGTCTTGGATTGTTTGGATATGAAGCATCCAGCTGTGGAGCACACTAATAACTTCACACGTAGTATGCCACAGAGCAGTCCTTCTATATCATAATTGATTTGGCCTGCACTAGAAATGAAGCTCGAGCATTCATGGCAAGCACTAGACCCCGGAAGGCATAGCCAACTTACTTGTCGCCAAGTGCTCAAGCTTAAACACCTCTAGAAGCTGAGAATCCATAAAGTTCAGTATTCCCATGGGACACAAACAATTATCTCCCTTTTTGAGGATTTGATCAACATCATATAGAACATTCCCACAGCGTGAAACATATCTGCACCTTTCAGTGCAGAAATAATAGGTATTGACCTTGGCCAACATCAGCCATTGGCATTGGCCTGTACCTCACGTCCCATGACCCTCCTGACTGCTGCACCATGTTCAATAATTTGCCAGAACGATCTACTTCTGCATGAGAACAGACACACTCCTGCCTTTCGCCTTAATAAAGAGAACTACCCCCTTCCAAAAAAACAAAGAACAAAAAGAAAAAGATATATCCTAGAGCAAGCAGAATGGAACGGCAACATGGAGCATTCTTACAAACCAATTTGAGAACCCTACTTAAAGAACCTTCATATGGCCATATGCCCAGTGAGCTTGACACTCTCTTATAAAATGTAAAAACCAAAAAAGTCTGGTTCTTTCTATCAGCCAGAATTACAGGTTTGCACACTCACTCTCTTCTGGGATAGAAGTCTTTTACCTGCACAATAATTCGATAAATAACATATTTTTTTTTTCCTGCGTGAAATAACATGTAAAGTTTTTTAGTTTCAATCAATCTTCTCTTTAAAGCATGTATTGCTGCCAAAGGATAAAAGGCTGCTGCAGATTTAAAGATCGTATCTCCTGAGTCTCCTCTTCGTATACTGATATTGTCTCCTATTGATCCTATAAAAAAAAATTATTCATACATCTTATGTCCCATGAGGCACACAGGCATTAATTATGGTAACCATCATTTCTGATAACATATTTACCCCGTCCCCATCCTGTTAAACAATTTTCCAGTCAATCTATGTATACAAGTCAAAGGACGAGCCTTGACCATTGGTAAGGTTGCTCTCCATTGTGACATGTGTGTCACATGTTCGAGTTGCAGAAAGAGCATCTCCGCATACGGGGATAAGACTGCATACATTTGGTCCTCTCTAGACCTTGCAGTGATAGGAGCCTCATGTACTAGGTTGCCCATTACCTAAGTATAGATTTTCTTTTCTCATTTATATAGATTAAAAATCTTGTCTATAAAATTCATCGACATAACAGAGTACTCAGATACAAAGGACACCTGTGAGACTGCTGACGCGCTCTTTAACTCTTGAACTATCTAAATCAGTTCCAGATACAAAAGCAATATCTGCTTCGAAAGGAATCCCGGCAGAGATCTGCATACAAAACAAAAAATTGCTTCAGTACGTAGACAAGAAGCAAAAATTAGGGATAAAAGTCAAAATCCTAGTTTGATTACTGTGTGTAGTACAACGGACAGGTGCTAATCCACTCCTCCATCATATACCTGAAAAACTAAAATGTTTGGGGAATCTTCAGATGTATCTGAGAGCTGCAAACGACCAAATTGTCTTGCCTAACAAAGACACACAGATACACACCCATTAGCGCATAGGATTAGCACCAGAGCCACTGTGCAAAAATGAAAATGTTAAAAATAACAAAAGGGTACCGAAAACAGCAACCAATATGATATTCTCACCAATACAGTCAGCTAACGAGTAACAGGCCATGGACAAACAATTAAAGGTTGAACATCACTTACTTGGGCTCCAAGATTTGCCTGGACGAGATCGGATAAATTATGAATGTCAGAAGTCCGGAAACCAGCATAACGGACTTCCAAATCATCCTGCAAGGAAGGTGGTTTGAGATTAGCATCTGAATGAAGAATTTATGGTTGCAACCACATATCATAGACAAGGAGTGGCAAAAACATAAAGGCGTGTGCTGTAGAGAAGGTGGTCATGATACATATATTGAATAAGATTGGCACGCGTCTGCCAATACTAATGTTCTGATTTACACAATCTTTATACTGTCAACCGATCAAAATAAGACTTTTTAAGTATCTCTCCAGAAACATCTCTCTATTGAATAAGCTTCAAATCTGCAAACAACATACAAACCGGGTGGGTGGTGTAAAATACTAGAATTTCCATTTCATACAAATCACAACTGCAAGAGATAATGTGCCAAAGCATGGTAGGTGAAACAAAGAGGTGCACCGTGTTGCAGCTTTACTAAAAATATGCAGACAAAAAGAATGATTGAGTTCTTGGTATTCCCATGGGCTACAGATTAGTTAAGACTAGATGGTTTCGAGTGGGAGAAAAATCCTAAGAGGTTGAACCTTGGTTTGTCACATAATGAAACTATAAAATTGGCAAACTTGGAATTGGGTTTCAGCTATTGGATTGGAAGAATACCTTTGCATTGGCTGGTTTATAATTTTCATGCAGGCCTAAGGGAGGCAATGGCATTTGTTGTCTAAAATTTATTACTGGAAGGGGGATACTTCAGGCTATCAGTTGGTTTAGATTGGCCACTGTGGGTTCTCTGAGATGTTCCAAGCATGAAAGAAAAAAAAAGGTTTACTCACTGCCTAGAAAGCACCCACGTTTTTTTCAAGACAAGGTAACAAATGCATCATTCATCTCTCTTAGAAGCTGTGTAAGAATGCAGTGAACACAATAGTGCTTGTGGGTGGCCAAGCAGAATATAATTCAGCACACTACCAGTCTACCACACATAAGGGTTTGCGCAACCATAAAGGTTTTAGAACTGGCCCTTGACAGGCCACATTTGGAATTCTCACCAAGAACCATTAATATCCCTTGAGGTTTTGGCACAACTTAGATCTCCTCAAAACCACATGAGCCAGGCGCTAATATATATATTGACTAAAAAAACATTCTGACAATTAAAGGGATATGTACAGGTTACTCCTACTCTTTGTTCATAATTCCTATCATTTATTTCTCAATTTTGCAAAAGTATTAAGCACACCCATGTCCCAATCAAGACTTGAACCCTACACCTCTTGCTTTGAGAATGGAAGGACATATTACTCAAGGTACCATCTCTCCAAAATCAGCACAACCCATAAGAAGAAATCAAAGACTTTATGATACAGTCCCAACAATAAATGGAAATAACTTACAGAAAAAGGAAAAAAATGGTCAGAGAACAAATACACTAAGGTAGCTTATGGACTCGTCATCAGTTGTATACCTATTGCATAACCATGTTACAACAGAAATCAAATCCGTGCTTTTCAAAATAAATATTCTGATTTGTGTCACACAACATACCCTTGATTCTAAATTCAGCTGCCAACCTCCAACATCAGTTCGTGATCCAAAAGCCAGCACAGAAGAAACATGAATATCTGTGGCACCTCTGCCTAAACTTAACGCATTTCCATCTTCATCAGCCATATAAAAGAAAAGGTGTACATTTCTCAACATTTCCTCATTAACACTAGACCTATCAACAAAACACAGATAAAAAAAATTATAAAATGGCATAAAATGTGAATGGTGGGCTAACAAATTTGATGAACCTATTGAAAGGGCCATCTGCAACACTGATGGAAAAAATTTGAGTAATGAAATTTCCCTCTAAGAACTTCAAATTGAGATATGAATATACACTTGATTGCACAAAAACATCATTTTTGCATCAATCCAAAATACAACAAAAGGTTTCCTCAGAACTTGTGGAAAAGCAACAGCTTATAGACTGAATCTGGGAGAGATTTGGACAAAACTAGCAATTTTTAGCTTCAGTTAGAATCCTGAACATGTTGATGCAAAATATAAGGTAAATACCATAAAAGGAGCCCATAAGTCATGTTAAAAGTTTGAAGCACAGATGGCACACAAACTGAGGCCTACAAGCTCAGGCTTTGATATGGACTTATATACCACCGGCAAGTGAACTTTACTCATCCCAAAATTAAAATTAGTGAAGCATTCTAATCTTGATACTCTACCTAAAATTCACTAGAATATAATCTGTTAATCCCATTGGAGTTGTCATGCGCTTGTACTCTAACATTGAAATTTCTTTTAAATTCAACCAGCAAATTTCTATTGATTTTCAACCTCACTCATATTAAAAACCGCCATAAACAGTAATTTACATACTGGAATATTAAGCCACAGAAATATGCTAATCACAATAAAATAATCACTACAGTGAGAGCCGTAAGCTCAATGACACCAAACGGAAAACTGGTATACTGCCTTGATCTTTCTCTGTCTTGAATCCCATACCCCTATAATAATGTTCGAGTAAGGTGTGGGTGGCACACAAAGCATTCATCCATGCATGGTTCCAAATATTTTGGTAAAATATCAGTAATCTGGATAAAAGCATTCTAAGCTTAAATGTTTATATTTTGCATGCAAACACATTTTGTCAAATATCTTCACCAAACCTACTCAAAAAATTGTTTAAAAACTGTAAACGAGAGAGGAACCTTCTCCGAATTGTGGCCAGATAAATCTCTAACGTACAACTACATATTATCAATTGAACTTTCTAGAGAAGGTCTCACGGAGACTGAGAAAAAATACATGGAAAAAAAGGGCAACAGATTGCTCATATTCACTCCTACCATGTTCACCAAATTTGAGGCTACATGCACCGAAACCAAGCTCAAAATGTTGGGGCCATTTAATAAGAGAAGAACAATGATAAAAGCAAAAAACAATTACTTCTCTCTTTGCACATGTACTCTAACTGCCCAGTCTCCCCCATAGCCACTGCCTTCCCCCTTAGATTTCAAAAAACTCGTCGTCAAGGTCATTCCCTGATCACCCAGAATCTGATGTCCGTAGTCCCGTCCATTATGGTGTGTCCAACCGTATGTCTTGAGTTCATCCGTATCTTGGCAGACATGCCGCATTAAATATCTTCCATCCTTCACACCAATCCACATCAGTCCAGCAACCAAAGACTGTGGAGTTCTGGCAATTACAATTGGCCATTAGAAACCATAATAGTCGCAATGCATGAACATATAAAAGCATAAAGCCTCCTCAGACTATAAATACATCACAAACCATGACTATAACTCCATTTTTATTCATGACAACAAGTTCCAGTGAAACTATGACAAAGAGAAACATCGCCATTTTCAAATGTAAAAACAAAATTAACTGCAATTTTTTTTTTCAAAAAATCAAAAATACAATCTCAGCATGGGCAAGAGAATACCTCGCACGAATTCCAAGATAAACATGGGGCCGGTAAGTTCCCCAGTACAAGCTCTCCTTGTGCTCACCTTGAAACTGCAACCAATTAATTCATCCTAAGCTCAACAACATATCATCATTAGTGTACAAGAAAGACTAATCAGCTTGTTTTAGTTACCATAGGAAGATCCATCAATCTTGGAGCAGGAAACGGTGTGACAACCCTCGGTCTCTGAGCTTCTTCGATGGGTTGAATTAGACTAGAAATAAAATACAAGGCAAACAAAAAGGCCATAACTCCAAAACATAACAGCACTTTGAGATTAACATCTAGAATCTGAATGAAGTTTTGGTCTTTGTTTCTGTCTCTTCGCAGTCTCAGGTTGGGTTTTGTTTTTATACTTGAAACCGAGCGATCATCGTCATTGTCGACGTCTGTGGAGGATTTGATTCTGCTTCGTGCAGTTCTTCGAGAACTTCCGGTCATTCTCAATTGTTGGAGTTAGGCTTCGTCGAAGACAAGAAGAAAACAAATAAACCAACTACTGCTAGGACTTCTAATTCCAAAGGAATTAGACTACAAACTACTTTGAATCCTTTTAACATATGGATTTCTAAAAATTAATGAGAGAGAGAGAGAGAGAGAGAGAGAGAGAGAGAGAGAGAGAGAGGGTCAAACGGCGAGACGAGACGAGCTCAGATTTTGAGGAATAGCAATGAGCGTCCCTCTAACCGGAGTCTCGGAGACACAGAGTGAGAGACAAAGCTGCGACAAAGGGAAGGATGACGGAAGTGAAGGGTGGGACTTCGACTGCGACGAAAGGGTGAACGAGCCCGGCCCATTTTATGAGGTGGACTGGACTCAATTCATACTTGGGCTGTGACAAGGTGATCGACCCCAGCTTACGAGTGTATGGGCTTATGAGATGGACCTCATTCGGCCTTTCCTTTCCTTTCCTTTTTAAAGGATATTTTTTTGGTGGCCATACACTTTGCTGTACTTTTGGGTCACTTTATTGGGTTTTAAAAGATAATTTGGCGTCTATAAAGATTAAAGTGAAAATTGTGGTTAAGGGATTTATAATCAACTTAGTCCGTAAAAAAAAATTTATTTATGAATAAGTTCGTTTTTAATGTTATTAATAAGTAGTTAAGTTCAAAGTTTTAAAAAAATCCCAAAATGCCCTTCAACCAGTATTGAAAGCAATCTTTAAGGGTCAATGAGTATCCTAATCGAAAAACACTCTCACTCTTAAATCACGGTCAGATCTAGTGTAAGATTTTTCTATAAAATTTGAAATTCAAATTCATGAGTCTTCATTTTTGTTCTTTTGTTAATGTTGTGTCTTCATTTTTTTTATAGGCAACGTCATCCTCCGAATTCTAGCATGAGGAAGCTCCCCTTTTCTATAGGCTCTTCCCTTCAATTAGTTTGATAGTTTCTTTAGTTGTGCTAGGCTATTTTTTAAGAGTTGCTTACGTACTGAGTTTGTACCCATCTTACCGAAGGAAGAAGGAAGCTTCTGCTCCATTAATCCTGTCCCCATTCAGTCTTACGACCACTGGCACCATGGAGGTGCAACACATAACATCATGGAAAAATTTGAAGAAAGAGAGAATATGGCTTACTTGACATTGAACTGCAAATGAGGAATATCAGGACCATAGATATGGTTCTGATGCCTGACTTGGAGGTGGCTCACAAGGCCTCCATTAGGGGACTTTTCAATGGAGATTAGACGATAGCCCTTACCAATCTTGATGGTGGCTTGGGAGCTTGGATTCCGTACACTACTCGGTCATAGCCGATCATGAAGGTGTCAATTTAGAGCTTCTTGGCATTTGGGTTTCTGTTTTCTGTGGCATTCTTATTGAGGCAGTCTTTGAAGCCATGTAAGTTGCAGATTTTGACTTTAGTTTAAATGTTACTTGTTTTCGTTTAAATGTTACTATTTTTTATTTTTTATTTTTATTTTTAAATATTACTATTTTTTTTGTTTAAATGCATCATCCGTTGTCTATGTTGTATGATTCCCAATTTTGTTCCATAGTCTATTTTACTATTTTTTTATTAACCATGTTACTTTTTTTTGTTGAGTATGTTACTATTTTTTATTTTATTTTTTTAAATGTTAATATTCTATGTGACTATTTTTTATGTTTAAATGTTATTATTTTTTAATTTTAAATGTTATTATTTTATCTCATGCACGCACACACACATATGTGTGTGTGTGCGTGTGCGCGCGCGCGGGGTGTGTGTGAGAGAGAGATAAAATAATTCTAATCTATATATGAATATACATAGATATTGAAGAGAGAAATAATTTTAATGTTAATTAAACTCCAAAAATTAAGGAGTTATTAGTTATCAAATTTGATTTAATTAAATATAACTACTGAATGTATTTTAGACAGTGAGAATCAAAATGGACTTATTTTTAAACAAGTTTTTTGAATAGACTTAAGTTCAAATAAGTCCATAAAAAGATACCAACATCCAAATTTTCCAAGATTAAATTACTCTTAGAAGTCACTGTGTATTTATATATAACTAGTTAGTGTATACGTGTGTTGCATGTAGACCATTTCAAGTTGTATGTTTGATTTTTTTTTTTGTTTTTAATTATATAGATTTATTGTTCATGCTTAAACCAGATGTCGACAAATGTAGTTTTTATTGTATGATCATCAAGCAAAGCAACAGGTGAATGATAAATAAAGGCATAAACAAAAAATATTTGTACATTTTCAATATATATAACAGTAGTGAAAATCAATTAGTAGATACTTTTTGGCACATAACATATAAAATCAAATTTTTTGGTGAACTTTAGAATAGGCCTATTAAGAAATATAGGATTATTTTGTTTATTAAGGGTAGAATAGTCTTTTACTTTCCCTGCTTTATTTAGTTTATATATAGTCTATTTGTTTTTAAGTTAATTTACTTCCTTATATTCAATTGAATTATGCAGTATCAATAAAACCCTAACATCCTCTTTTCTTATCTCTTGTATTTCTTTAAATTGTTCAACAAGGCCAAGCTCATGCCTATTCAACTTATACATCAAGAGGCGAGATTGAGCCATGCGTATGGTTTCGTCTTTTTTTTGGTTTTTTGCATTGTAAATTTCACTTGCAATTCAGCTTAGAATGATATCTCACACGGATTGAAGCAAGTTTCAATAGGTTCTTCTGTTCTATTTTCTTCATTTGGCAAGGAGAGACATATGCTAGCAAAGTTCAGATTCATATGAGCACTAACTATTTTCATTAATAGTTAAATTTCATTCAGAAAGGGTTCATTTATAATGTAAAGCCTAACTCTTCTATTTGATTCTCTGGTGAGCAGCTTGAACAAATATTATTGCGGTCAGTCGAATTTTGCACAGCTCTTGAGAGGTCAATACTCAGCATGCATGTCATAAATAAAATCAATAAGATGAGAAAAGGGTTTAGAATAAAACATGCCACCAATTTGTCAAAAGATACAAAAAAGAGCATAATCTACTATTCTTAATAATTATAAACATTGTATACAAAAACCAAATTAGACAGTTAATGAAAAATAACAAAAAAACTCTTTTCATCTATTGATTTCAGAAAATAAATGGACTTTTGCATTTGGAAATCATCCAATCCCCCCCCCCAAAAAAAAAAAAAAAAAAATAAAATTGGGTACTACATTCTACATGTATTTCCGTTTCTCTGCTCTTCACAAAAACAAATGGACTACTAATGCATTTGCAAACAATCACAAGTGCATTAATCACTTAGATACCATTTGATCTGCCAAGCACAAAGGAAACTATAAAACGAAACATAATGGTTCAAATTATACTCGAATATGATATGATAAAGTGTAAACCTTAGTATAAGCATAAATCCCATCCACAGGACTTCCTCTCCAGATAGGGATGGCAGTGGACCGGGGAAAAACAGGTATTCATCCAAATTCGTCCCGTTTGGACCGGGGATAGACTATACGTATTGAATGGTGGACGTATATGGGGATACTTGTATAAACCCGTGCAGGAATGAAGGAGGGGATGAACTTACCCTTACCCCCGCCCCGTCCCTCCCCGTTTACCCGTTAAGTATATATATATACCCATTAAACCCTAAGGCCTCCAACTTACTCTTCTTTCTGACTTTCTCTATTAGCAGCGCCGCCCCCTTCAATCTCAGAGGCTCTCGCCTCTCCGTCTCATCTCATCTTCGAAGCCACAACTCATAAGCTAGGCGGCCAAGGCACAACACAAGCATCCCAGGTTTTTCTTTTATGCCCAAAAAATTTGAACCCAACGGTTGGACTTCTTATTGGAATTTTGGATTCCTTCTGTTCCTTCTGTTTTAGACTTTGGCGACTAAATTTTTTTTTTTAAAAGGCTTTTTCTTTTAAAATGGAATAAAAGGCTTTGTACAAGTTCTTGGAAGTTGGAACCCTTTGTTCTGTTTCAGAAGTTCTAATACTCTTACAAATCATCCACTTGATTTAGTTTATACAATTTTTTAAACTTTGAACTAATGATTGCAAGGGAAGTTTTCTTCTTGCATTATTGCTTTCCTGATGATAAGTTCTTGATTGGTGATTTTTTTTCCCTATTCAATATAGTCAAAATTTCCTTTGGCTAGACATAGATTGTCAATTAAAAATATTATTTCTTGACCATGTTTAATTATTTCAGATTGGATATTTCTATAGATGTGGTTCAGTGGTTGCTGGGAATCTCCCTTATGTTCAGAGTTGACATATTTCAGTTTGGATGAGATATGGTGGTAGATTATAGAGTCGTCTCTGTATGTTCTCCTTGAACCGCACTGAACTATATATCTAACGTATTAGTTGTTGCTGAAATAAAGCTCAGGAAGCTTCATGGATGATGGTCCTCGGGCTTGGGCTTGACATATCTACATATCTAATGTATTAGTTGTTGCTGAAATGTTGGATTTATTTATAATTTTGGATTATGTTGGCTTGAACTTGGATTTAAGCTTAGGCTTGGGCTTGGGCGGGTACGGGGAAGCGGGGACGGGGACGAGGATTATAAATTTACCCGCAGACGGGAATGAGAATGAAAATTATACTCGTTAGCGAGGGTAAACCAGAGATGGACGAATATTTTTTAAGCGGGTACGAGGATGAAGACAATACCCCCCGCCCCCGCTTCGGTCCATTGACATCCCTATCTCTAGATAAACATCCCTTCCATGAACATGCAAGGCAAGTATCTTAGGTGATACTTCTACACTAATAACCTAAGGAATAAAATGAAACTTATTTGCTAGGATCAAACTAAAGTTCCACAAAGCAGGTGCAAATCCAAAAAGATTATGTCTCATCTCTTGGGAAGTTAGCTTGTCAAGATATTTAACTTTTGTGAATTTCCATGGGCAATAATCATTGCTTCCTTTGCAGATGGTAAGTTAGGTTTCAATTTATTGTTCCAAGCTCAGGGTACAATAAATATACTAAAAAAAAAAGTAGACAAACCACCTTATTTGCTTGTTCTTTAAAGTAAGAAACTACATAGTTACAAACTCTCGCCATTTGGTTGTGATTTATTATAATTGTACCGCAACTCAGGTACTTGTTCTTTTTCATATCTGTCTATTGTTTCTTGCTTGTTAAGACCCTATAACTCCTCGTACCTGAATTAGAGAAGAA